ACGGAAGCAATTGTCAGAGAATATCAGAAAATCATGGCAAATAATCGTCTGCCAATTCACCAGTATATTCCGCACGCCGCACGAGACCAACAAAGACTGAAGTCCAGACGACCCCCTGTCCAATCCGTTCAGGGAATGGGTGATAGCTACAATAAGCAAGAGCAGTGGGCGAAAAGATGAATGCCAACAACAGAGCCAGACGTCATCAAAATATCAAGTACGTCGATCGGCTTCACTGGATCAAACCTGCCACGCCCTATATGGACAAAATTAAATCGCATACGCACGGGTCATGGCAAATGTGCCGATTCTCTATACCGATGGGGTCATGCAGAAAGCCCACAATGTGATTGTGGATCCCCGAGACAGACCATCCAACACATCATGGCGGATTGCTCAATCCGCAGATACAGCGGAGACCTTCAAGATTTTGGAGAGTGTTTGTCATCCACATCATTACGTAAATTTATCATATTTCCGAACATACGTTAATGAACCCTACAACATATCATTTTGTTCTCCCTTAATAGGTGCTTGTTCTGCATGTCTCAGAACAAAGGACATTTTGAGAAAAGAAAATTCAGAAGAAGAAAAGTTAAAAGTTAGAACGTTAAAAGCTAAAGCCTTTTATTTTTTGTTAAAAAAACGAATCAAATTATAATCTACAGATATTTTCTTTTGATCATCAAAAAATCTTTCCTTACCAAAGCTTCCCGACCAGGCGGCTTATTTCTCGCAGTAAATAATTTTTTATAATTTTACCATCGTGGTTGGAAATCCTATCTTTCTTTTGCAACTGTGACACCTTATATGTGGCTGGAGTATAAACATCCAAAAGATTTAAATGCTGTTGCCTCTACTGTACATAATACTCTCATAAAATTCAACTTTAAAAATCAAATCGAAAAAGTTTACCTATCTGCAGATGAATGTGGTGTACAGAACAAAAATAATGATAATGTCTGTAATAATCTACTTGTTGGTTTATGAACCACCTGGTTGCATTAAGAAAGTGGAGTTTACGTTTTTCTGTTGTTGGTCATTCCTTTTTGCCACCAGATAGGATTTTCGGTATGATAGAAAGGGAGATAAAAAAGATGAACGTTGTAATAAACAGAAAAGAATATGAAGACATAATTGGAAAACACTCAAATATGCTGAGGCTTGGTAAAGACTGGCAGATATCAGACCGGAGAAAGACGAGTAGCTTTAAAAAACCTTCCCAGTGGCATTTTAAATGTAATACATCGAAAAGATTTATATTTTCTAAGGACAAAGATCATATGGCCACGCTAAGGGGAAAAATATTTTATCGTTCTGACATAGGGTTTATATGTTTCTGATATAGGTCTATAATACGAAAAGGGAAAAAGATTCCTTTATTGAAAAATAATAAAGTAACAATAGATTGGATTTTCATTTAAAGGAGATAAATCATCCATAGACACCCTACTTTCAAAATATTTTGGTAAAAATTGGAGAGACCAGCCAAATCTAACAGTTTAGAAAATGATAGATACTGGCGTATAGACAAATATTAACGAGAGTGTTGCAGAAAATGATCATATTCATAATAAGGACCCAGAGCAACTTAGAGTTTAGGAATTTATATAAATATATACACATAATTTGTAAGACCTTTTGAACTTTGGATAAAAATAATCTGTCGCCAAAAAAAAAAGTCAAACGATTTCTACTTGGCGAAATCGAATTCAAATTTTGACCATCGTACTTTCTAAAACTTGCAAAGCAAACATCTTGATAAATAACTCGACAAGGGAATCTCAGATTGCATTCCACATGTCCTTTATCATTGGCAAAATTCCTAGTGAATTCAATTTTTGGTACTCCAAACGGAGTAAGAAATAAAATATAAAATTTTAATTCCATTTCGCCAGGTAGAAATCATTCGATTTCTCTTTTTTTATTAGATGGCGTAGTTACGTCTGTGTATAACTATTTTATAACTATTGTTTAAGATGGGAATAGATCTTGTTTCGATTCAGAGACGTGGCTATACCGCTCTGACGAGATCTAAAGAAGTCGAAATACGTATAAGCGGTTGCCGCAGCTCTGTATTGAAACAAAAAGTTACGTCTTCATTTGTTTTTCTTTTTTTTTTTTGTTGCCTAAAAGTTTACTTCCGCATGCTTTCTTCCTTATTCTTAACACACTAGGTTTTCAGTGAACTAATGGCTGACTATTATCATGTATTTGCAAATGTTAGTTGCATACATCGCTATTTACATAGTACACTTTCTTCCTTTTATAGCAAACACAATAACTTTCTAAGAAAAAAATCATAACGTATTTTACCTAATAAAGCATTTATCTACCGCAAAAAGTGCAACTTCTTAAATCAAAGATTTTTTGCAAAATTTACCAGTGTTTGGCAAATAACTCAGTTTGACTTATACGGAAAATACAATGTTTTGCATCTGGTTGACTTATATATTCGGTCTCTTCGGACTCATAAATAGCGCTCATGTCAACAAGATTGATGTTCAACTAAATTACACTATGAGAGTAATATCTGGTACTATTAAATCAACTCCACTAAGATGGCTTCCAATTCTGAGCAATATAGCACCTCCAGATATTCGACGAACGGCAGCAATTGTCAGAGAATATCAGAAATCCATGGCAAATAATCGTCTACCAATTCACCAGTATATTCTGCACGCCGCACGAGACCAACAAAGACTGAAGTCCAGACGACCCCCTGTCCAATCCGTTCAGGGAATGGGTGATAGCTACAATAAGCAAGAGCAGTGGACGAAAAGATGAATGCCAACAACAGAGCCAGACGTCATCAAAATAACAAGTACGTCGATCGGCTTCACTGGATCAAACCTGCCACGCCCTATATGGACAAAATTAAATCGCATACGCACGGGTCATGGCAAATGTGCCGATACTCTATACCGATGGGGTCATGCAGAAAGCCCACAATGTGATTGTGGATCCCCGAGACAGACCATCCAACACATCATGGCGGATTGCTCAATCCGCAGATACAGCGGAGACCTTCAAGATTTTGGAGAGTGTTCTCCTGGTGCAATTGAATGGCTATGCAATTTGGACATTAATATTTAATATTTAACTTAGGTTACAATTCCAATTTGAACATAATTATTATCTAAATACTACTTTTATCGTATTGTAATTATCCATACGCTAAATAAATAAATAATAAATATATTCGTTTTTTTTTTGTTTATGTTTATTTACTACACCAGCAGATATTGTTGTATGTAACATTTAGTATATTTGTTAGCACTTTGTGCTTTTGTATTTCAATATTAAAAAGTCATTATTTTTGTTTCTTTTGTAAGATTGTTATTTACTTTCCTCTCATGATTGTCTTTCCTTAGTAAACCATTATTGTATAAAAAGATTGAATTGGACGACAATGGCCTAACCGCATAGCTCATCGCGGTTATAACAAGAGCAGGTTATAATTAACGTGGTGTATTTGCAGTCGGCATTGTGGCAGAAATCCACATTATCGTCAGACCGACCAATTCGAGTTGATGTGCTTCCGGCAAAATTCGCTTCATTTATAAAATATTAATCCGATCATAATGAATAGCCTGGAGAAAAGAATAAAAAAATCGGCTAAATTTATTTAAGTGGTACGTTGGATAACGGAATTAAAGTATTTGGTTAGCTTGGCGAGAACGAGTTTTTTTCTACCCACATATTATTTGCAATTTATCCATCCTATATGTACACAAACCTTTATACTGATGGCTGCACAGCATCTTACAGTGTTGCAGATAAAATTGCTTTACCTGCTAGATCTGATACATCAAGTATATTTAATGTTTTGGCAATGACAGTAAGAAGTAGTTAATGTACTACGTAACGCAATTTTGGGAAAGGGTGTCTTGTAAAACGTTACGGTGTGCTACAGGAGCGGGAGGGAGGTTCGAAGAACGCGTTACTAAAACGTAATTAAAATCTCTTAAGTAGACAATCATGTTCGCTTATGTTTTGCGGGTAATCTCTTGATTATATTTTATAGTATTGTTCTTTTGTTCTTTTTATTTATGTTCTATGGGGAATTGTTCAACTGTGTTGTACATTATTTTTATTTTGCTTTCATTGTCATTAATACAAATAATATAATACATATCATCAAGCAAATAGAAGTAAACAACGGATACAACGAACAAACAATTAATAAAATGTTAAATCAAAAACTACACAAGAAAGCCCTGAAATTAGTATTTCTACCACCAGAGAAAAAACCCAATACCTTCTGCTCGATTACATATACAGGCAAAATATCAACAAAAATAGCCAAACACATAAAAAAGAAAGGAATAACACCAGTTTTCCGAACAAATAACAACCTAAGCAAATATATCAAAAACAACAAGAGCCAAAATAAAAAACACACAGTGGTATGTACAAAATTAAATGTGGCGACTGCCCAAAAACTTACATCGGTCAAACTGGTAGAAACTTTAATAAACGAATAGCAGAACATAAAAGGGCTTTCAATAATACAGAAACGGATTCTACATACGCGCTTCACCTTCTAGATCAAAATAATTCTTTTAATGACGAATTTAAAATTCTTTACATTCAAAATAAAGGCCGTAAGCTATCCTTGTTAGAATCTATGGAAATCAATAAATTAAAAAACACAGATATAATTCTGAATGATCAAAGTTTTCAGTGTTTTATTGTTACATAAAATGAATTTCCATCAAGTTACGAGTTACGATAGAATCAATTATTCATAGTAAATACCTACGCATTTAGAATTGCATACGATTTACAATACGAATTTAGAGTTTCATACAAGAAGAGACGAGTGCAGGAGGATAAAACAAGTTTTACAAAAACTTACGGAAAAAGGAATTATAACAAGGTGTACAATAAAGTAAAACAATAAAATATATCAAACATCTAGGAACAAAGGGCAATGGAAAAAAAAACATAAAAACATAATTCAGGTGACGTTTTAGTACAAATATAACACTATATGCAAATTGGATTACTGGTTTTAATAATATAATATTCACACTTTTTATTGAACAAGGCGATGGTTTACTATTAACAGCGCGATTATGGTTAATTTTTCATTTTCTTGTTATTGGGTCTTTTGTTTCAAAAATTGTAAAGTCCAAACTGATCCAGGAGCAGCGGTTTCCAACATAGTCGTTAAACTTTGCCTAAAAATGGAATAATTGTATAAATTAGTCTAGAGGTAAAGGGGAGTTTCGCGGCAAATTGATTTTTATGTATTTTGGCCTTCTGAATCCGAATCTTTAACATGATAATCAGAATTTTTTGGCAAGAATTTGTGATTAATAATTTAATTGGGTAAACTAGCAAAAAGAAAGAAAGAATATCAATCCTTAAGAAGAATAAACATATAAAACAAGACAGAATTAATATTAATAATCTGCGCATTGAAATAGAGAGTATAGGAGACAAATGGATAAGGAAATAGAGAAGGAAGAATCTGGAAGCGGGGGAAAGTATGGACGAATTGTGGACAAAATGTAGAAACATAATAACTGTGAAGGCATCGGAAATATTGGTGAAAACAAACCAGTTACGAAACGAATGGTTTGATAACAAGAAGCAACAGTTTAATTGTGTTTATGCTTACAACTAAGAAAATAATATAGTTACGTATTTCTTTTTTTTTTTTTGTTTCTTAAAAAAGACCAAATAAACTTTAAAATTGAAAATTTATTATTGAAAAATAATAAATTATCATGAGAAAAGGCAGCAAATATTTGATTTCACGCAAACAAATCCTATGTATCTCTTGATACGTATTTCGACCTAATAGGTCTCGTCAGAAGAGCTATTCATAGGGCTTCTCAACGTGAAAAATCAATATTTTCTGCCTTTTAAGAAGCAACAATAACATGGCTTCAATACGGACGCAGTAGCGACATCTAATTAAACAATCGTAAAATAGTTTCGAAACACAATTCAGATTTCTGCTTTATAATCTGAGCCTTCTAAGAATTGCAAGGCAAACAGACGTTGATAAAAGATGTTAAAAGAGACATGGGGAATCTAAAATTTGCATTCCACGACATGTCTTTTACAACTAAGCAGAAATCCTTAGCGAATTGTGTTTCTCGTACTCCCACAGAGCATATCCGAATAAAATGAGAAAAGGCAGCAAATATTTGATTAAATTTGAATAAAAATATATTCAAATAAAAAATTTGAATAAATTATCAATTATATTAGACATTTTTACATTTTAATAAAGGACAGTTACATGTCAACAAGAAAAAACATTGCCTCAAAAACTTCAAATAATTAAGATTTGACTCATGAGAGACATCAAATGGAGGCTGAACAAATCCAGGGATAAATCAAATCAAATACCACAACTGGGCTTGGTTATCCTGGATGATGAATATATGTAATGCTTCAAATTCGGCTGCTTATTTTCCACTTAAAACCATGTCAGTTTACTTAGCCCTCAGACAATGTTACCAAATCCCTTGTCACAGGATACAGCTTACAACAAACGGTGATTGTCGCTTACAAAGATTGCCATACTGCATTTTAAGCTCAACTCATCTTCTCACCAAAACTCATGGAATTAAGGGAACATTTGCCTTTTTTTTCAAACTGTACGAAAACAACCCTTCTTCCTCCGACTCTCGAATTGTTCTTCCCTTGACTGCTACACTCGAAGTCCCAAAGACCAAATTTGGACTTTCACAATAAAAACGACCGCTCTCGCGACGGTCCATCGAGAAGTGACCTCATAACCAAAAATATGCATAAACATAAGCGAAATGATTCTTGTCTATTTCCTGCACAAAAATCCAGACTGAACCTGGGCGTTTATTATAAATGGATCCAAAAATGTTTAGATTATCAATCTCATAGACGCAAAAAAATGAAGAATCTTTTTTCGTGTTTTATGATATATACGGTAAAACAAAAATGCTACACATTAGATGAATTAAAAGAGCAAAAATACAGAGATAAACATTATCTAATAGAAGAGTTGGCTACTTCGTCCAACTCTACTTTATTACACATTTTACGAGCATTTAGCAGTTCTTTTATATCACGAAGTTTTTAGGTGGGTGTTGGACAAAAAAAAAGTTAATGCCCAAGATAGATGAAATACTTTATTACCAATGTATGAATTGGTTCCAAATTTTACAGATATTGCATGTACCCCTTCAGGGGTTAATTATAGTCGCTTTTGAAATATAACAACAAGGTGATAAATAAATAAAATAATAAATATTATTATTTCTTCAGCGACGCGCCGAGTGCGAGTTAGCGCATTGGCTGGGTCAATTTCAAATTAATGTATTTTAGCGAAAACTGCGTCAAAATGAAATTAATAAAGATTAAGATGTTCGTTTTCATTGTATAGTCCATCTAGAGGGTATCCGGAAAAAAGAAAGAAGAAATATAATTTTACGTTATTTATTTCTATCACTTGAAATATAAAAGTTCAACAAATAATTCATCTTATTTACTTGTTTAACCTCCATTTAAATCTAAACACTTAACTAAACCTCCAGGTACACCCAAAACTAGGTCAAGGCCATAATTATCGGTAATGCTGTTTCACGCCTGTAAGACTGACCGAGTCAAATCTTTATCTTGTGGCGCTGCTCGTTCCATTTAAATCTTCATCAGTCTCCATATGTTTTCAATAGGGCTAAGATCTGGAGATGCCGCTGGCCACGGAATTGTTGCCAATTCGTGTTCTTGCATCCAAGCTTGAGTATAAGAGTATAAAACTTGAGTATAAAACATGAGTCGTTTCAAGAAGAAAACCATTTAGGATGTCATAATATTTCGCTCTATCAATAGTACCATTAAGTATAAAGAGAGGTGTAGTACCATGCTGAGTTATTGCTCTCCAAACCATTATTTTAGTGGGGAATTTGTAAATTTGAAAACAACAACTTTCATCAGATATAAAGGCATTATTAAAATTATCTTCCCGAAAACGTTGACAAAAATCTATTCTTCGTTGCCTTTGCAGAGGTGTCATTGTAGGGATTTTTTTGGATTCCTTGATATGTAGTTTTGAATTTTCAGTGACATGCGGACAGTTTCTGGGTACACTTTTGTTATTTTGATTTCCAAATCTGCTAATTTTCGAAACCCTAGGCGTGGATTTTGTCGTCCTAAAGCAACTAAAGCATTTAAATTATATATATATTATATATATATATATATATATATATATATATATATATATATATATATATATATATATATCCGGTTTTTTAGGCGTTACGCCCGTCCGGTAGGGATGAGGAGTATCACCGAGCCGCAAGCCCTTATCTCTTGCCGTACTGCTCCACCATAGGCCGATCAGAACCCAGCATATCCTAGTCTAAGCCGCAGATTCATCTAGAATTTTAAACTGCTGCGTTACACTTTTTGTTTTCTGTACATCGAGCTGGGGCTCGACCCACATCCACTAAACCATTCGACAGTGAAGCGAATGAGAGGCAGCCGCACAGCCCGCTGAGCTATCTGACCGACAGCATTTAAATTACTTCCGCGAATCTTTCGAGGTCTACCCGAAACTGGTCTACGTCCCATATCTATCCCATTTTATATTCTCTTTATGGTCTCATACACTGCACTTTTTCTGATTTCAGTCAATTGCACTAATTTTTTAACGTTTCGGACAGCCTTTCTATACAAATATTCCACCATTTTTCTTTTTTCTACTTGCGACATTATTTCACAAATCTTAAGTCTGTTTTCAAAGAACAGTATTTGACAGATGGTGTTGTCATGCGATTTTGTCCATAACCTACTATCGGCACAGCATACTTGATGCATTACTTTTGTCTTAAAATATTACAAAAAGAAAATCTATTAAAATTAGGAAAAATATAAAATTCCGGATACTTTCTAGACGGACTATACTATAGTTCTTATTAACATGATACTAAAGTTTTTAATCTCGTACCACCGAAAAATTGTGATAAACGAATTCGATTGTTTTTTTTACACCAAAATTGGTACTTTAAATATATTTTTAAAATAGTACTTTTAAAATATTTTTAAGTTGAGCAAAGTTATAAGCAAAAATATCTGATACAGTCGATAATTTGAAATCTTTTAATAATAAATTTGCAATATCTCGGTTTCTAATGGCCTGATTTTAAGTTTGTTTTTTAAAGAAACGAAACATGATATTCAAAGCGGTATATTTTTAGTATTTTATTAGTATTTTATTAGTTATAAGCATTTAAACAGTTAAATTGTTAATAACAGATTAATTTCAAAATATTTGGATTATTATGTTGAAGATTCGGATTCATAAGGTCAAAATACACAGAAATCAGTTAAAATCGCATTGACCTCAATCTCCAAGTAACTCTCCTTTAGACCTAGACTAGATTAGGCTTATTTTATTAACTTGTTACTAATTTTAATATGTTTTTACATGATTTATAAACAATACAAAGACTTACGAAGAAACTTCTTGTCCTTTGGCCGATTTTAAAGCTCTTTTGTCATCGTCTGCAAAACCAGTAATAATTTTAACACCAGTGGATTTATTAAATGTCGAAGACATCGATTGACCAAAACTCATCAAGTAACTTCTGGTGGCCACTAATACGGGTGATAAGTTTTTCTCTTCCACGCACGGTGAAACTATAAGATTGCAGATAGTGCCTCCTTTTCCTCCTTGCTGGGCACTAAGGAATTCGTAGCCAAGTAATGTACTTCTCACTATGCCTTTCTGAAAATTTTTAAAAAGAGGTTACTAATCGAATAATTGACAACTCTTAACAACATTTGGTTCTATTTTTTATTCTTCCTTTGATAAATTTCCAGTGAGGTCTTAATACCTACTACTTCTTTTACAACTGTATCTTCTGCTTCACTTTCGTGCTTTAAGAATTGGCTTTTTCTCATTTTGGAGCTATAAACGACCAAGGGCACTAGTAGCGCAGAAGATATAACTTAGGATTATACAAACTCTTTAATGAACAACAAGTCTTAACGTTCATTAAAAGACAGCGACTTAGATGGGCTGGACACATAATGCGAATGCCAGACAAGTTGATTGCTAAAAGGCTAACTGCAGAAAAAGCTGTAAAAATATTAAGCAGAGACTGACCGCAAATTAGATGGTTAGATGGAGTTGAGACCGCTTGAGAGATATTAAAAATCAGACGATGACACCAGGTCGCTAGAAACTGAATAGAATGGCGACGAATCTTAGAGCAGAACAGGATCTACAAAGGATTGTCGAGTCAAGGACGATGATGATGGTAAAAATGATAGTGATGATAATTTCTTCCGTTTGTCCATTTTTTATTCTTGAATCTATCAGTTTTTTTTTCTTTAATAACTTCTCATTGTCATCTATATTATTTTAAATGTCTGTATTTTAATATCACTATTTTTTTAACTTACTATGTTCTTCGTTCTCTTTACCTTTTATTATTTCTTTTTTGCATTTCCTTTGGGTTGTTTTCTGTTCTTTTAAATATCCTTATTCTAATAATTTTATTCTTTCCTTTTATTTTTAGTTCTCTGATCGCTCTTGTTTTATATTAATCTGCTAACGTTTTGGCATTAAAGGCTTAATTTTAATATTAACCTTCTTCATTCAGTTATAATTGATAAAGTAAAGTAAAGATTTTCAGTAAGTAACGGCATTAAATATGTGTCAAAAATGATGAACAAATAAATACTTTTTTATGTTTATCACAAAATATTTTTCAGCTCTATTCTTTTTTCCTTAGTTATTCAAAATGGTAACTCGTATTTTACACCTAACCTATATTCCCTCTATACCATATGAAGCCAACAAAATTCGCGTTTTTTCGCGAAGCAAATCTTTGTTTTATTGATAATTGAATATGTCTTTTCTCCCTTTTTATTGACATGAGTTTTTTCATGTAAAAATATTTGTACACAACTTTAAAAGATGTTTTTTTCTTTATAATAATGCTAGAATAACAAGAAATTGTAAAAAAACTATGAGCACAAGGAGTTGACGCTTAAGAGTGTGGTTAAAAATTTTATTAGGTGTAAGTACATTTGAGAATATATAAGAATAAAGAAAGTTAAAACCTTTGACGCCAAAATTAAAAACAACAGCACCAGTATTTCCTCAAACGAAGTGAATAAGGCAGTGAAAAAAATTAAAAATTTACCAAAAAGTGTTACTTAGGAAGAGATACAGATGAGGTGCAATAAAAATGCTGAAATGTACAGATCAGAGTAAACAAAATGTTAAACAGATTCAACTGTCATCATCATTTTTTTTGCTCATGCGGATTTATATTGGGTTATACCACCATCAACTTCCTTTATAGAAATGTCCTATCTGAGTATGATATTATGAATTCTTCGATCTTTCTCTCCGACTTCTTTCAGAAGCCAGCAACTCGGCAATTCTGCGTATTGGGTCAATACGATCTCGACATTGAAAATTCTCTAACCATCTGCGTTCGTACATCCATTACAAGTGTTATCAATTGGTACCAAATGGAATGGACGCGGTATGAAAATCTCTTCTTTCACGTTATGAAAAGAGGCTTTCCCTCTTTAATATGTGACTACTTCTTTTGTTATGAGTGACTACATTGTGAGATTTGTAAAAAATCGTTGTGTTATGATATAATTTTTGAAAAGAAGCTAAGATGGGAAGGTAGTCGGCTCACATTTATTGCTCTGAGGCCAATTCTGCTACAAATAAACTCTAAGGGGTTTTTCCTGGAATACGACAATTGGATTAGCTTTTTTGGTAATTGCAGATTATAACCTGTAATCTTATAGGAGGGTTTATTATAAAGAGTCAAAGTACTCATCAGAATGTTAGTACGTGCCTTCGGCGATGGCGTGTCGCTCTAAGAATCTCCTTTGCTCTATTGTTCGGCAATTAAAGAAGTATATAACAGACTCAAAAAGAAGAGAATAAAATACACCGCATAAAAAAGATAAAAATCAGAAAAAGGGAACTTTGTGAACTAGAAGAATTGAACAAGATGACAGCAACTAGAAAATTCTTTAAAAAATTAAATAAGAGTAAACATTATTTTAAACTAAGAACAAAATGTGTATAAATAAAGAGGGAAGCATGCTCACAAAATAGAAAGAAATATGAAAGCGATGGACAAATATTTCTAAATTATAACTCAAAGAGAATAACGATGAATTTGATGAAGAAATTAACATCACAAAACACAATCACAAAACACATCACAAAACATCATCACAAAAAACGTAAAACAAATAAACCCTCAGTAGACGAATTGGAAGCAGATGTAAAAAAACTAAAAAACAATTTGTCGCCTGGACCAAACAATTTTAGAGCAGAACTAATAAAAGAAGAAGGAGTGCATATGGAAAAATAAACATTTTCTGCTGGAATGGAACATCGGAATAATCTTGCCATTACACACGAAAGGAACCAAATTTACTAAAAGGTAACTACCTTAACTAGATTCCTTATTCTGAGAGGCTAGATATATGGACCAGGAACACCAAGAAAAAAAATACCAACTGGAAACGTAAACGTCTACTGATGATGTTGATGCTTATACGTTTTTGGATGAACAACACTCCGATTTAATGCAAAATATGTAAGATGGGAACTTTAAAAACTGAAAATAATGATACGCAATGGCGTTTAAACAGTACGGTGTGGAACGGTTATATTATATTTATACCATAATAAGTCTTTTACATAAAATAAACATAAGAAAGAAAAAAATATTTCTATAAAATTCCAAAGGAATGAAATACGGTGAGTTTCGGAAAAATGTCAACACCATGTAAGAAAAGAACATAATTACAATGAAAACAAAGGCTGAATATACAACTACTAGAACCAAGCTTACTTACCAAGTTTTTGTCGATTTCCTCCGTCCACTTACATTTTTCTGATTGTTCAATAATATTTACGATTATGTCCAGACTGCAAAAATGCTTTTTAGAACTTAAAAATGCATCTAAAATAAAATATTAATATATAATATGTTTGGGACAAATTTCCGCGGTCAGATAAATGAAAATTACTACGTTCTCGGGAAGAACCGCGTTGAGAATTTATAACTGAACGTTTCAGCGCCCATTATCAAGAGGAATATGGTTCCGTTCGAGTTCGGGGTCTCAATCTGCCTACTCCCCTCAGTCGTGACGTACCAATATCTTGTTCTGTAGAAGTACAACAACAGTCAACCACACTGAGGTCTCAATCTGCCTACTCCTCAGTGTAAAGTGACGACTGATCTTATCCTGTGTAGCTGTTTTCCAATTTTAGATAGCTTCATGAATAATTCGCAATTTTAAGGAGAGGATAAAAGCGGTAGATGATGTAGGGCAAGGGATGAAGTAGAATCGGAATGTTTTACATATATATAGAATGTTCGTAAATACGGTTTTGGATTCGTCGGTTTGTCTGTCCTATGTAGGTACGTGGACAACTGGAACACCATATTTTGTATGCTATATGGTTATACTGGTATCTTGTAGACACCATGGTCTTTATTGGGGATTTGGTCTTTTACGGATCTGACAAGATTAGACAACTTAAAGTGAGAAGCTTAATGTTTAGAGAGTTAAGTCAGTGACACATTTTTTTATATTATTCATTAAAAAACTACTACATACACATTTTGGATAGAGAATATAAAAGAGTATATACTTACTTCTTAACAGCAGGACGTCTCTTATATCAGACCGAATAAATGCAGCCCTATTTGGGTCATAGCACGTACAGAGTTCGTCTAGTTTTTTTCGCCCTAGGTTTTCATCGTTATCTGTAAACATAACACCCTGTAATTACTTTTTTAGTTAATAATGGTCTTTGTATAATAAACCTTACCTTAATGCCACATCTTAACAGTTCTTGAACACAAATTAAACCAGATTGTGTCGATCCACCGGTTACGAGGGCAACTTTTTGGGATAGTGGTTTTGATTCTGAAGCTGCTGATATTATCGACGTCTTTACTTTGACTGAAGCGGAAGCATCTTTGTGTTTTGCGGAGACAGTAGTAGTAGCTCGACGATATAATGAATTAAGTTTGACAGCTCTTTAACAATAACATTTTTAAATATGATTTATCTGTGGCTTTTATATGAAAAATTATTATAAAAATTATAATAAAAATATGTAATGAATATACTAAGTTCTCCTATTAAGATTATCTATCGATCTAATTTTCAAGAACCTCCCTATGTGGATGTTTTCTCCCTCTTATCCTCGTATCATCTTATGTTGAGATTTGTTCAAAATCTGCATGAGTCAGTTCGCCTTTTAGGTAAAAATTTTAAATTGTATTGCGACGATTCTCAAAAACAAAAATTGGTGTCCCTTTAAACTAGCATGCAAGAACTGTGGACAGATGATACCGACAGAAGACCAAAGTTTTGTGAAACTGTTGCAAATTTGCTAAAAGTAGGTATTCCGTTTTCTGGCGAAGTTTACATTTTTATTTAATCAGAACCATCGATAAAGAAAATACACGCTTTTGAAATCTGGAACACACACATTGGTATCAAGAATGTAACATGCTTTAAAAGATCTGATTTTAACAAGACGGTGTACGGCCTCATTTCACGAACGATGTGCCAAATTGATCTTAAAACAATATTTGCAAATCAATGAATAGGTAGACGATACTCGATTGAATGGCAAACTCGTGCTTTGGAACTAACTCTCTTAGACTTTTGGTTTGTGGGATTATCTAAAAATCAAGATCTATGTAAAAAGCAAGACAATATAGAAGATCTAAAACAATGCGTTAACCGATAGATTCACATAGCGAATCGGACATTGTTAGATACAAATGGTGGCTATTTTAAAATTTGATTTACTTAATAAAATTTTACTTAATTAATATTTACAAATTAGAATAGAAGTACTTACAATTTTTCGTAGACGAAATGATGAATAGAAGTTACTAATAATTTTGGAAATGTTAGCATATTGGATCACTTTTATATTTCTACATTCTAATTTTCACTGGCACTTTTTACAATTTTGTTGATGACAGACATGATTTAATAAATTTGACATTTATGCGCCTTTGGCAGTTCTAATACACTCGTATGACCTTGAAATCAGAACGTCAATCACCTATGGTCTGTGATTCTTCTAATACACGAAATAGTTATGGTGTATAGTTTTGACATGATCTTGATTTTAAAGAAAATCAAATAAATACGCTATTTTCATAGCACTTTATGTTAAATTTATTAGAAGCATTTTGAGGACACTGTGGAATGATATATACTTTATAAAATATATAAAATATTTGTAATCTAATATATATATATATATATATACATTATATATATATTCTCTATACCTCTTCCAAGGTTTTCTGCATGATAGCGTTTTCTGGGGGAATTCAAGTCAACCTGTAGTTCAAGGTTATTATTTTATCAAATAACAGTTATTAGTATTACTAATAAGAAGTAAATTTCCTTGCTGTGCCTTTTAAAAAGTAATTTTCGTTTCTGATTCATCTTTTTTTTGGGCATTGGGTCTGCTTCTGAAGAAGCAGGGTCTGCCTTGAAGTTTCTGCATTATGGTAAAGGCAGAGGCTGATTCTGGTACCAGGCGGTTGCAATTTTTGGAAATCTTGTTTTGACATTTACAGCAAAGGTTTAAGATAACTAGGGTGATAACCAGTGATAAGGTTGATGTAGAAAACAAAAATAAATATTCTTGGATAAATGGTTGGTTCATCAGATGGCCCTGTTCTTCTAAATATTGTTAAATCATATTCGTTTATGTTATTTATTTATTTATTTATCGTATGGCAATTACAACACATTTAGAACAAAATTACAAACACTAGTAATATAGGTATATGACAAACTTTAAATAATTACAAACAACCATCAAGTGTATTAACATAATCAATTGACTCTGAAGTTGCAAACAGGAAGTCTTCAGGGCTACCGTTATAGGATCTTGAGGGACACTCTTCAATAATGTGGTCGATCGTTTGGTCCTTCCCACAGTCACATTGAGGAGACGGATTCTTTCCCCATTTATGTAGCATGTATGCACATCTGCCATGTCTGGTTCGGATCCTGTTTAGAGTGGACCATGTTTTACGTGGAAGATCAAAACCTGGTGGCTTGTGGGTAATACAGGGCATGTTATTTTGCCATGCATTCCATTCTTGGGACCATGCATTCGTGATGTTGAACTCCTCATGTATCATTCTTGCCGTTTTCATTGGTGGTTTTCTAGAACGTAGACGGGTATTTCGTGCATCCTCGGTATCTTGGTGGATCGGCAGGTTTATATTGTTCATGATCTTTTTGTATTCACGTGTAAGTGCGTCAACTCGTCGTAAATGTGGAGGTGGAATGTGACTTAATACTGGAAGCCATTGGGTGGGAGTTGATTTAATTGTACCAGCTATCATCCTCATAGTGCTGTGCAGCTGAGTGTCGACCTTTTTTACGTGTGGACTGTGTAGCCAAACTGGGGCACAATATTCAGCGGTCGAGAAAACAAGGGCTAAAGCAGTAGAGCGGAGAGTGGAAGCCGATGCTCCCCAGGTGGTACCGCAGAGCTTCTGTATAATGTTATTTCTTGTACTCAACTTTTGGGCAGTTTTTGTTAAATGCTCTTTAAATGATAGCGTTCTGTCTAGTGTTACGCCCAGGTACTTCGGTGTTTTGTTGTGGAAAGTGTGGTATTTTCAAACCGTATGTTGAGTTCCTTTCCAGCAAGTTTATTGTTCAGGTGAAAGCAACTTACTTCTGTTTTGGATGCATTTGGTTGAAGCCGCCACTTGCGAAAATATTTGCTCAATATATATAAGTCTGCCGTCAGAACTTCTTCAGATGTTTCTAGTGTTCTGCATCGTGTAGTGAGGGCCCAGTCATCGGCGTATCCGAACTTTCTTGATTGTGTTTCTGGCATATCTGCTAAATATAAGCTAAATAGTAATGGAGAGAGCACTGACCCCTGTGGTAGGCCATTCTTAAGTTTCTTTGGTGGGCTGATATCTGTGCCCATCACTACTTGAAACATTCGGTCGTTGAGCATGCTATCTATTAAACGTGCTATTTGTTTACAGGGAATTGCACGGAGAATTTTGTATATAAGGCCCTCTCTCCATACTGTATCGTAGGCTGCCGAGAGATCAATAAATGCCGCTGAAGTTTTAAGTCTTCTTTGGAAACCCGCTTCGATGTAGGTGGTGAGTGACATGACCTGGTCCGCGCAGCTTCGTTCTGGTCGAAAACCCGCTTGTTCGACTGGGATCACCTGGAACAGTTCTGTACTGATTCTATTATATATAAGCCTCTCTAATAGTTTGTAGATGGCAGAGATAAGCGCAATTGGTCTGTAGTTTTTTGGTTTGTCAGCGGGTTTGCCTGGCTTTGGTATGGCTATTATCTTAGAGCGCTTTAGTTCTTGTGGGATATTTCCAGTTTCCATGATGTCTGTGAAAAATCGAGCCAACTAAACTTTTGTATACTTGCCACAATTTAGTAGGAATTCAGGGTGAATATTATCAAATCCTGGTGCTTTTGCTGGCTTAACATCTTTTAGCGCCTCTGATATGTCTTCGCTTGTGAAGGGGAGGGAATGCTCCGTTTCTGTGGCTACATGTTTTAAAGTTTTAAGTTCTCTCTTTACGTAGATGGTGTGTGCTTTATCCTTTGGTGCTCTGGATGTTTTTACTATATGTGATGCTATGGCATCTGGCTTTACGGCTGCCTCTTGGCGTTTCGTACGGACACCACTCCCTAATTTTCTTAGTAATGACCATGCCTGTCTGCTTGATTTCTGGAAGTTTAGACTTTCTACTGTTTCGGTCCACTTTTGTCTTCTAGCGGCGTCTAGGCTGTACAGTAATTCATCCGCTATTTCTTGGTCGCCAGTTTCAAGAAAGCTCTGATATAGTTCCTCGCTATTTTCCGACCAGCCAGGAACATATTCTTTGCGATATCCTCTTGGTATGTGTTTTTTGGCTACACTTAGCACGGCACCAACAAATCTGTGGTAGTTTTTGATATTCGGTGTAATCCACCCTAGACATTTATCCAGATCCACAGAGAAGTCAATCCAGTTGGCCTTTTTAAAATTCCATCTTGGACGTGGGATAGAACTAATTAAAGGGATTTGCGTCCCTACTTCTGAGGACTACGTTACATTCAGGAATTAATCTTAAAATTTGAATAATTGGGTTTGAATATTTGGGTAGTGACGTCTTTTCTTGAACACTTTATTGTTACTGGTAATGTATAGAAGATGGTTATTAACCATAAATTTTGGTCAACGTCTTTCACATTGTAACCTTCTGCCAAGAGCATCGACATTTGACAGGTTTTTGTCATAACACTGAGAGGCTTCAAAAGCCGCTCTTCACATATATGTCATTGGTGTTTATCGGACACGGAAGAATGTCTGAACACATTCTTTAATTTTGAATGAACTGTTTGCATTTTTCCTCGGGCGATATATTTATGATCAGTTAAAAGTATTCGCGTAAAGTAGATTTTGGGATCAATTCATTGGATTTCTAGGACGAAAACAGTTTTTGAATCAAGCTGGTAAGCTTAAAGTTTTAATATGTCAATTTACTGACCTACACTTGACATATAAGTGGGTAGAATTAAAACATTTTGCAATGACTGTATGATTTCTTACATTGAGTTCATTAAGTCTTTGAAATTTGATTTATCAGATTGACATGCTAAATGACTTCGGCTGTGCAGGTGTTATCGGTGTATCAGCGTTAATAAATTTTTCTAACAGGTTTTGGTTTCTTCAATTCTTCCATTGTTGGTTATTGTAGTTTTGATAGGGATCAGTTCCTGTTAGACAAGTAATGCTAATTTTTCGTTAGATATCCTTATCGTTCTTTTTCCATCAAAAAATATTCCAATTTTGTTATTAATAGAAAAGATAATTTAGGACTGGGTAATTCAATAGGGTCAATAAATAAATACATCGGGACATCTTGTTGTCTCTGCTCAGTTACCAGGGGCTTCAACATTTGTTCCTTCGATAGAATAACATAAAAAACAGAAAAAGTAAATCAAAATTATTTAGACTTTAGGCTCAATATAATTGAAGGTTTATTGCAAATTTCTGAAACCACAAACAAAACTTGAAACAGAGAATTGAATCAAAGACAATTAAGTCCATTCTTCGGCACTAATCGTGTCAATACTGCGTTGTGTTGTGTGGATTTTACCGGAACATTTACTTTGGATAGTCTAAACACTGATGGAGTTCACACGAGTCAACAAATATACTCAAATGACATATTACAAATGAGTGGACCTGTTAAACAGTTTATCCAGATGATTAAATTGTACACTAGTGAGATTCTACATGAGTCCATCAGAGTGTGTTAAGACAACATTAGGGTAAAATTAGTTAATATGCGTACTGAATGTAAATAGTGGACATCTGCTTGTACAATGTTATCATTTAATGTATTTACATATTTGTTCCTTACTATAATTTTTTATCTCTGTTTTTCTTTTACAGGTAAGTGAAACAAATCATTTATATGTAAGTACATCTACTTTTTATGTACAGTTTTACTATTTTAACAAAGAAAAATGTAGTCAAAATACTTCAGATCGAAACATTCTACAGTATTTTAGATTTTTAATTTTAATTACTTTTAATAGTTTAAAAATGGGGTATAGTGATCGGTTTTCCCCAATAATAACACAATATAGGAGTTAGAATGACGCATCATAATTGCAAATATGCATTATTTTGGTGTATTAAAGTACTTGGCTAATAAACGTTTATGTGTAACAAACTCGTTATTGAAAATTGTATCATTCTCATCGTAATATGTACAATTGTAATAAGCATCGTTATTTGTACATAATCAAAAGAGGAACACTCTTTTTGCTACTGCCTGATTTCTGACTCTGTCTTTCTATGATATTCTAAACATTCGGTGCAGGGACCACATTTTAAAAACTTCCATTACTGCATCTGAACTTTAATGTCTATCTCTCTGTCCCTCTCTTATAGTTTCCCCATTATTTAGAATCGTAATCTTTTCCAATATTTCTAACAATTTTTCTCCATTGGGACTCTAAGGGTTTCTATCTCGTTGGTCTAAAGAAAGAGCTTGTTCTAGGTACTGCTAAAAGTCATTCATTTTTTATGAATTGGAGAATTTATGTTCATGCCTACATTATATACAACAAAACAACAAAACAAAACAACAAAACAAAGCAAACGTAACATTTAAGTATTTTCTATATTAGATTGAAATCCAACTTCTAATCAGTCAGAAATTTACGAAGATTCAAAAAAGCATTTCTAGCTTGTTCTACTTTGCTTATCTATGTATGTGCGCATCCCACCGGCAAACAAGACAATATTTGTGTTGTGATGCTTTGGTCACTGGACCTTACATCTTTCTCTCATTGTACAGATATTTTTAAATATTGCTTTTATTGTAAAACAGATTTTAAAAAATCTTGATGTTAAAAAAAAGTATTTAAATATATAGAAAAAGTACACATTTTATTTAACAAATTTTCATATATTTAATCGTTTTAACGTACTACATGTTTTCTTTTTCAAACAAATTTACCAGGCTTATTATTCGAATGAACAAAACTGGACCTAATCAAGTTTCTTTACAATACTTTTTAGATCTTCACTACTCACAAAAATCGTTTTATTCTTTTGCTTTTTGGGCTTTTTTTGTTGAACATCAACAGCACTAGTCTCTTCTTGATTGTTGTTAGTGTAACTGTCAGTTTTATCTACCTCTTGTATTACTGATTCACCCGATGTTTGCTTATCTGATAATTGTTTCTGGACGTTTAAGGATGAATTTTCTGTTTTGGTAACTTGTATATTTTTTCGGAGACTCTGTTTCAATTGCTAATGTTGGAATCAGTCCAATTGTTTCCCCGACATCGATGTGATTTACTAGTGTTATCCTAGGTGCGTCCGTTGGTTTAGTCTCAAGAAGAACTTGTGATTTACTTGTTTCATTTAAAGAAGATTTTAAGCCACTACCTTTAACGTTACTTAAAACTTTTGACATTATTGGTTCATTTTGAAGCTCGTCTGGTTTAATTTCTTTAACCGCAACAGTTTTTTCTAAATGTGGTAAGCTTGCTGTGCTTTTCAAATTGGATTTCTGAGTTTGATTTTGACAGTTTTCTAAAAATAATAAAGTAAATTAATAAAATGATACCTTTTAGAAAATAAAAAAATACGGTTTTTTAAACGAAAGTTTTTTTTTATTTTATACGAAAATAAAAAAAATAATGACCTACGCGGCAGAAACAAGACCTGACAAAGAGAGGACAAAAAAGATGTTAGAAACATCATGGATAAAAGTACTTAGAAAAATTGATGGTAAGACGCTATGGGGCATAGCTAGAAGTACAGATATACGACGTAGTTGGAAGGTAGAGAACATCAAGAACTGGGTAAGAAATAGAAGAGTAGAATGGAACGATCATAGGTCATACGAGACGGTTCCCCAATAGGAAGACAATCAGTAGGAATACCACGAAAACCATGGAACAACAACTTACTGGAAGCACATTAAAAAACAGACAACGTCATGTCTGTTAAGAGCCTAATAGACTGAATAAAGACACTGAAATAGGCCAAATAAAGGCCTCTCCCATTTCTCGCCATTCATCCCTGTTGTGTGCTAGGCGTTTCCACATTGGTCCTGCGACTCTTTTGATATCGTCGCTCCAGCGCATTAGAGGTCTTCCTCTTGGTCTCTATGCATCGTACGGTCGCCAGTTTCCGACTTCTTTGTTCCATCTACCATGTTCGAGGCGTTCGTTGTGTCCAGCTCATTTCCATTTTAATTTAGCTGCTTTAGCTGCTTTTTTGTGAATGTCCAGGTTTGAGCTTCGTAATTGAAAACGGGAAGGATACAAGAATCGAACACTTTGGTTCGAAGGTTTTGGGGTATCCAGTTGCTTAACAATATATAATTTACATAAAATTGTTATTATTTACTATTGTAGACTCTGTATCATAACTCTGTAGGTACTATTCTAAATCTTTGCTCCCGTGTCAATTACCAAAGATGTCGAGACACGTTAATTCGAAATTAAAAAAAATCACAAAACTTGACCAAACCTACTTTAAAATAGACTTATGGCTTATTCCTAATAAAAATGGTAAAATGGATTAGGATGCCATTTCCTCCATAGCCAGGAAAAAAATAGCTACAAAAGAGACTGTATATATTTAATGACTTACCTTTGTCGACTTCAGTAGATGTCGTCTTCATGTCCAATTTATAATTGCTCTCGTTTGGCTTACTACATTCATTTTCACATTTAAAATGTTTTACCCGTTTCTGGTAGTTACTTTCTTTTAATGAACAGTATGGTTTTAAATCGACTGATACTTTTAGTTCCTCATTTTTTTGCTCATTATCGGCGCAATTATCACTTTTTTTGCACACGCTATAATTTCTTTTCGCATCCCGTATTTCTGTTTCTTTTGCACACAATTTTCGTCTAAATCTATCATTAGTGCTTTTACTGTTGTTTTTACAATTTGGTTCTGATTTTCGTTTGCTGTTATCATCATTTTCGTTCGAATTTTTCTTCTTTTTCTTCGATTTGCATGGATCCACATCTGATTTTCGTTTGCTGTTATCATCATTTTCGTTCGAATTTTTCTTCTTTTTCTTCGATTTGCATGGATCCACATCGCCACATTTGTCTTTTTTATATTTTTTTGATGATTTGTTTTCGGATCCCTTTTGTTTCTTATCAGCTGCTAAACACTTTGGTACTGCAGATTCGTCATGAGAATCTGCTACTGTTTTATCTATTACACATGGCAATTTTTTATTAACTGCTTTTCTATCTTTTAACTTTTCGCACATATGTTTATCAACTTTACATATTATTTTCCTCTTATTAGGACATCCAAACTTTATACAAATTTTCCTAGTACTCTTAGCAGATTTCTTTTGTAATTCATCTTTACAGTTTATTCCTCCTTTAGGTTCTGCTTTTGAAGATTTGCACTTAGCGCTTTTGTTTTGATTGCTACAGGTATCTGTTTTACTTGAATTTGAGCTTAAGCTTCTAGTTTGACATTTAGGTGTCATCTCAGATAAGATTTTGTTAGTTGATGATTTTTGCGACATTTTGATTTCTGTTGGTGTCAAATTTTTAAAATCTGGTACTTGTATTTTGTAAAACTTGCAATTTTTTGGTATCCAAATGCTTCCGTTTTCGCCGTCATGCAACATCGAAATAACGCCTTTTGCTACAGTTTCTGACCTAAAAGTAATATACAAATGTAAAATTCAACTTAATATAAAAAAATGTATAACAAAATGTTTTAGTTTATGTTTTAAATTATTTTCCATAAACACAAAAAGTAAAATCAAAGCGATCAAAAATATCTACCAAAACAACACAACAAAAGTAAAAGTAGAAGAAGAACTAACCGACCGACCCTATTGAAGCTGGCAATGGGATAATATAGGGAGATTTTCTGAGCCCTCCATTGTTTAACCTGATTATGATGGATAAAATAATATGAAAAAAAAAGTAAGAAATAAAAAGGATACCAAATGAAAGAAAAACAACTTAAAATAATCTACTATGCAGACAACGCAATACCACTTACTCTCTGAAAGTAAAGATGATTGCTGACGTATGCTGCACCAATTTGTTATAACTGCCATAAAATTTAACATGTTGATTTCCCCAAAACGACAAAATGCATGGTTATAACAGAAAATTTAATAAGATAAATTAAAGATAAGTAAATTAAAGCTAGAACTGACCTTCTAGCTTGGAACAAATGGAACAAATGATGGAGTTTAAATATTTAGAGATCACATTGTCTGGCTGCGGAAAGCTCGAAACTGAAGTGGAAGATCAAGTGAATAGAACAAATACAACTGCAGGTTGCCTGAATAAAACAATATGGAGCAATAAAAAGATCGTAAAAAGACAAAATAAAAGGCAGAATTTACAAAATGCTCATCAGACCAATAATGACATACTCGGCAGAAACACGACCTGACACAGAGAGGACAAAAAGGATGTTAGAGTCAACAGAGATAAAAACACTTAAAAAAATTGATGGTAATACACAAGATATACAACGTAGATGTTAGCAAATAGAGTAGTAAAAACGGCAAGAGACGGTTTCCCAATAGGAAGAAGATCAGTAGGAAGACCACGAAAACGATATAACGACAACTTCCTGGAGGCACATTAAAAACTAGACAGAGTCATGTCTACATAAAAAGAAGAAGAAGAAAACAAAGAGTAAAAACTAGGAAAACAAATAATAAAAGTAAAAGTTTATATAAATAAATCCATTTGTAAAATGATGCGTTGTATAAACTGGCGTAGCTAGCTCAAATGTGTGTATTCGCCCTTGGTTCTGGTCAATTGATGTGGGTTCGATTTTCACTAGAAAGTTAAAAAGTAGGTCATTGCTTAGTTCTGTAGTTAGAAAGGTCATTGCTTTGAAAGCGCTAACAAACTACCAAGTCCTCCATTCCATGTAGCTTTATAAAATTAGGAAAACAAATAATTGAAAGTGACACATGAAAAAGAAATAAGGCAAGAAAAACCTCATGCAAAACTGTAATTCACCTAGAAAGTAAAACCAAAGATACCGGGGGATGATTCGTCAAACGGGTCATAGAAAACTCATCTGGGCTGCTGATTTTCTGCTTCCCTAATTATTTTACAAAATTCCATTAAAAAATTTTGCAAAACAAAATAAATTTTACAATTAATTAGAAATCACAGTCCCAGTATTTTCAAACTTTTTTAAAATTCTTTAAATTGTTATACGACCTGAAATTGGTCTAATAAAATACTTCACGCTTAAAAGAGAACCGACAGTGCCTGAATTATGGCCTGAAAAAGTCATTATTCCTGTTATTTTCTGAACTGAGTATATTTCATGAACTTCAGTACATTTTACACAATAAATTCAAATATTGTTAATATCTGACTTCATTGTAACCAAACGCCACCTGTTATCCACATTCTGCACTACGTGTTGCCTAACTTTTACAACAAATATCTGGCAAATGTATATTTTTGCAAAATTTTGGAACGTGTTTAATTCATACAACAATTTTACCATTTGTTTTCAGTACAAATTTCCACATTTTAGTTTCCCATGACCCTTTTGACGATTCATCACTCTATATTATAATCTTAAACATATATATTACTTACATTTGGATAAATTCTTCTCTAGAGGTATCTTCTAGCTTATTCTCGAGATTCAAAAGCATTTGTTCGTTCATATTATTATCAATATCAACTTCAGTTAACATTTGAGTTTCTCTTGGTCCTGGACAAAAGGCCATCACTTTTACACCAGTTGCATTATAAAAATAGTTATGACTCATGGATTTTGTGAATCCTATAATGAACTGGCTAGCTCCTGAGTAAAGGGGGAATGTAGACATTGGTTGTAGTCCTTCGAGTAATGCGTTATTTATGATGATTCCTCCTGTGCCAGACATATATTGAAATCCCAAGCAGGTTCCATTTACCAAACTTTTCTATAAAATAAGAGTGAGGTTAGTACCATTAGAACTTCAGTTGAGTTTGTGATGAAAATCAAATTTTTCCCAACAATTTCAAGCAAATAGATACAAACAGTATGCACAAAAATGGGGTGTCCAAGATAAGAATCATTTTGATTTTTATATTTAGGGTCATTATTGTTAAAACTTTAAATCGAAATTTATTCATACCTTCCAAGATTGTAATTATGACACGAGCCTTGACTTTTATTCAATCATTGGTGAAAAACTTGTTGATTGGTTCGTTCACTACAATATTATATTTTCCGATCAAGTAACGTTCACAATAATCTTAACCGTTTTAAAGCAAAACTGCCAGTGTTGGGTCAGTGAAAATTATTAGAGGATTCCACTTAATAGTCAAATTGCTAGAAAGATCAATATTTGGTTTACGATTTTTCAGATCTAATAAAGGACCGTATTTCCTGGAAATGTACTTATATAAATTTGTTCTAAATAGTCCAGTCGGTTTAGACGAAAAAAAGACCTAACTGTAAATGGCAAGCTGTGTAAAATTTTATTATTCCAACCTTTTGGTGGTATATTTAAAATGGTGACTGAATTCAACCATTGCGTTAGCCGTCATTTTGAATTTGACAATGAAAAAGGAAAACCGTTTTTGCTTAATTTCTCCGCTATTTGTAACTTTTCGACAAAAATGGCAAGGACTGAAATTGTTGTAAACACAATTTTCTACAATTTCTAATTTACAAATTTTTTCGTGCCGTCGATATTTTTCGAGTTAAGGGGGAAAATAGTATAATTAGGGAGAAGAAGCATAATTATCGAATTATCTCGTTTAAAATTAATTTTACGAGGTGAATGTAGATAAACAAAAATTGGGAGATTGATATTTTCTACACTGTTGGTTCCTTTCATTCTTTGTTAAGATTAATATTTGAGGTCATACGATTGCGGTACAAGCGCGTGCCTAACACCAGAGGGAGATTGGTGACATAGAAATAAGTTTTGTTCAATATCTTGGCCAGCTTAAACTTTTCGACAAAATGGTATAGACTTAATTGTTGTAATTGGGATTTTCTAAAATTTCTTCGTTGCAAATTTTTTCGTTCGGTCTTTTTTGTCGAGTTATAGGGATAAGTAGTGGAACGGGAGGGAAGCATAATCAATATTACATTATCTCGTTTATTACAAATTTTATAGCATTAATGCATATAAACAAAAATGGAGGGAATTGTATTTTATACAATTTTAATCTGTTTAATTTTTTGACAGGGATTGGTTTTGTAGGAATTGTTTTTATTTAATATCCCGACCATTTTCAACTTTTCTACAAAATTGTCTTTTTCTTAGGACGCCTGTCCGTTCCGAACATTGGCGATCATTCTCGCTATGATGACTTTGTTGGTTGGTATACGAAATAGCTGTACTCTTCTTCGTCCTGGAGTTCCTTTTCCTCCAATTTTACTTTGAAAATTGCATTGCAGTAGCTCATACCTACCTTGATTTCATATTATGTGTACCAAATACTGCAGCTTACAGCTCTTCACGATGTTGACCAAATCCGCGGTTGTGTTCATCCTCCGTAGTATTTCTTCATTGATGACTTTGTTTGTCCATGGTATCTTTACGATCCTTCTGTATAACATAAGCTCAAAAGCCTTTCATTTTCATAGAGTTTCTGCCTTTAATTGCCACATTTCTACCCCGTACAGAAGCACTGAGTACACGTAACATTTAAGGAGCCTTATTTTTGTTTCTAGGGTGAGGTCATGGCTCTTGAACACAGAGCTCATAGTCAAGAATGCTCTTTTTTCCTTTCTGTTGCGACATTTAATCTCTTGGGTATTGTCCCACGACTCATTGATTATAGTTCCCAAGTAGTTTTACTATGAGATACGTTCAATTCTCATTTGGTTCACATTAGCTTGGTTTTGCTTATGTTTATATCCAGTCCATATATTTTTCTTGTTTCCATTATTTCGTTCATTAAGTTTTGCAGCCATTTTGTGGTAATGTAAAAGACTATTGTATCATCTGTATAACGCAGATTATTAAGCTTAACTCCATTTATTGAGATTCCTTCATAATTTTTTTAGAACCTTTTCAAAAATGTGCTTCGAGTACAGATTGAATATCAGTGGTAAAATTATGCACCACTGTTACACTTAAGATTTTGACCTTAACTGTATATTCTCCATCTCTTCGAAGCACCGCTGATTAATTCCAATACAGGTTAGCTATTATTTTTAGGTCTCTTTCATCAATCCCTGACCTCTTCACCCGTCCCTGACCACCTCAAGCAGTTCCATCATTTGTTCATGCCTGACTTTATCGAGAGCCTTCTTGTAGTCAATTAGGCATGCAAAAACATTACAGCTGACATCTCTACATTTCTGAAACAATATCTGCACGCTAAATAAAACTTCCCTCGTACCAACGGCGTTCACAAATCCAAACTGATTGGGCACAATTTGTTCCTTTTCGCATTTCCGGTAAATTCTTTTGTGCTTGTTCTTGTTGTGTTTTAAAAACAGCTTCAGCAGATGGCTCATTAGACTTATGGTCTTATATCATAAAATTTTTGCTCCTGTTTTTTTTTGGGAACTGGTACGAACTCCGAGTTGAGCCACTCTACTGGTATTTTTCCTGCCTTATATTTCATTAAATATTTCAGTTATTATTTTTATTTGTTCTTCATCTAATAGTTTCAACAATTCTGCAGGAATTTCATCAAAATATGTAACGACTTAACGACAAAATCGTGACAACTTCAATTGTTGCAATTACGATTTCCTATACCAAACTGGAAAGAATTTTAACTTATACAACATTTAAGGTTCTAAGCATAACGAGGTCCTAGACGTTGACGTCATCAGCAGTAAGCCATGAACAAGAACGAATTTACGACTTCAAATATTGCAAATATAATTCTCTTTATTTCTACATAGGTACATTGATGTCGTAAAGTCGTAAAGTTAATAATAAAGAGATAATTCAATATTAATAATGCTTCCCCCCCATTCTTCTGTTTTTCCATGAAAATATCGGCCGTGTGAAAAAAATTGTAAAAAAGAAATTGTAGGAAATTGTATTTGCAACAATTTCAGTTGGGGACACCGGGGTTGGTTGTCATACGGGGTACGTTGACATTGTGCATTTAAATTACGCGCCGTTCATAGTAAAACATAGCGCGCCGACCTGTGCATGCACAAACCGTTGGCGCTTGTATTACCATACTTTCAGTCGAAGTTGTAACGTTATCCAGTGAATATAGTGTTGATTTGTGGTTTTACATTTGGTGAGTAATTTTTCGTTGTCGTACACTTTTTTTAATATTATCTAGTACAAACGTTTAAGTTATTTTCTGTGATGATGGTATGAAAGTATATTGATAGCTTTTTAATCTGGCGTAAACAAATTAACAGTTTATGAATTCGTAAACACGTGTTAGCCATTTTAGTTGAAAAACCGTCATCGGGGTTGGTTGGCATTTTATGAATGGGGCAGGTTGTCACGATGTGCCAACCTGCCCCGTGTATAACTATGAAATGTATTTTTGTAACAAAAGTATTATCTAACTAGGTATATTATCTAATTATTTACAGACGTAACCATGCGAACCTATAAAAGAAAAACAGAGCGAGGAAAAACACCTGCTGACGTTATGGAACGAGCTGTACGTGCTCATATTATTGATAAGTTAAGTTTGAAGGTTGTTTCGCAAGACTATAATATAGGCGTGCGCACTCTTGCACGATATTGTAAAAAAATGAAAACGGATATACTGCAAACGGAACTTGGAGGTATTCCATCTGTGCTGCATGTAGGATATCAGAAGAACAGACAGGTATAAATATTTTTAAGAGTCTAAATTTTCTTAGGTAATAACTATGATATATTGTTTTAGATCTTTAACGTGCAAGACGAAGATGCTTTATGTGAGTATCTAAAAACTGCATCTGATATTTATTATGGACTTACACCAAAGCAGGTTCGAAAGTTGGCTTTTCAATATGCTACGACTCTTAATATTACGGTTCCAACATCTTGGTCTACAAACCAAATGGCAGGGCCTGATTGGTTTACTTCGTTCTTAAAACGACAACAGACATTATCCATCAGAACTCCAGAGGCTACTAGCCAAGCTAGAGCTTCAAGTTTTAATGAACATAATGTGTCACAATTTTTTAAAAATCTTAAAACAGTTTTAGACCGACTGAAATTAACTGCGAGTGACATATATAACATGGATGAAACCGGTATCACCACCGTACAGAAACCTGATAGAGTAGTGGCTCGTAAAGGATTTAAACAAATTGGCAGAATAACGTCTGCAGAACGGGGTACCCTAGTGACACTGGCCATTGCTGTTTCAGCGTCAGGCAATTCAATTCCTCCGTATTTCATATTTCCTAGGAAAAACTATCGAGCGCACTTTGTTCGAAGCGGTCCACCTGGCAGTATAGGTGATGCGAATCCTTCGGGATGGATGACCGAGACACAGTTTATAAAATTTGCAGAGCATTTTATACACAACGTAAGATGTTCAAAAGAAAAACCAGTGTTATTGTTGCTCGATAATCATGATTCTCATTTGTCAATAACTGCACTCGATATTTTTAAACAAAACGGAGTTACTGTTTTATCGTTTCCACCTCATTGCAGCCATAAACTTCAGCCATTAGACCGAAGTGTTTATGGTCCTCTAAAAAAATACATCAACACCGCTTGCGATTTATGGATAACGAATAATCCGGGCCAAACAATGACCATATATGATATCCCAGCGGTGGTGAAGTCAGCTCTACCCAATGCAATTACTCCAAAGAATATTATGGCTGGCTTTCAAGTATCTGGAATAAGTCCATTTAATTCGGATATATTCCCTCCTGAGGAGTTTATGGCTGCTTTTGCTACAGATCGACCAATTCAAACTGCTGCACTCATTGATCAATCTCGACCGGAACTAAATGAAGTTACTGTGCCAATTAACCATCCTCTACCTGATTTAAATCTGTCTTTGGAGCAGTGTGATCCGCCTCCACTCGTGCCGATTCAAGTTACTCCGCCAACTCAGGTTAATTCACATTCTATTCCTCTTACAATCTCAACTACCAAATTCTACTGTGCAGTATCAGCAACTTCGCCTATATCATCTGTTAACGATACATCGGCTATATCATTTCCTGATGGTGTCTCTGCCCTTCCATCAACTTCCAGCACCAAGTTATTGACAAACTTAAGACCATTTCCTAAAGCTGGCGACAGAAAAACAAATACCAAACGAGGAAGAAAAAGACGTTCCACTGCAATTCTTACAGACACACCAATCAAAAAAGCTTTAGAAGAGGAAAAAAAGGCAATACAGGAGAAGAAGGCAGCAGTTTCTGCTAGAAAAAAGAAAAGAATCACAAAAAACTCTGCTTCCACTTCAACCAAAACGACGGTTGATAATGCTAAAAAAGATTTATTCAAGAGAAAAATAAAGAAAAAGCGTTCAATAGTATCTTCAGATGAAGACTCAGACCAGGATAATGCTTTCTGTCTAGTTTGCATGGAGCCACATTCCAATAGTCGCCCTGGAGAACAGTGGATCGAATGCATTGAATGCAACTTTTCAGCGCACTTCAAATGCACTGATGGCAATACTGTACCATATAGATGTCAAAACTGCGATTGTGATGAATACTAACAGTATTTCCAAATACAGATTTCTAATTATGTTATTAACTAAAAAAAGTTAACGTTGTTTGAATTCATACCTTCTTATTAAATACATTTACCTATATTTTTCGGCTTCTATTATTTTATATACCTACCCATTATTGATTACTGCTCCTTTGTATATTTTTCCAGTGAAGTTATGTTTTATACCTATATGCCAACCTACCCCAAGGGCTATGACAATTTACCCCAATCACGGGGTAAATTGACATAGGTTGTAGAGCTACTCTTATTATTTTATATGAGTATGTTGGAATACATCTAGGGATCTAGAAAAAAGGGCAATATTGAAGTAATGTTCACTCTATCTTACGGTAATGCGCACTTTTCAAAACAAGTAATACTAGTCTTAAAAAAATATATAATAGGCGAATCTATGACAACCAACCCCGGTCTCCCCTGGTCTCTCCCTGGCTTATTATTTTGAGATATTGAATAAAAACGGTTTTCCTTTAAAATCAAAATGGCGGCTGACGCAACGGCGGAATTCAGGCGCGATTTTAAATTTACACTACTATTAACTGGACTAAAATTCTTGTAAAACATGTAGCAATGGAATAGATATATAGTATTTTACAGGTTGTAGAAGCTATGGTGAATAGATTTTTTTATTTACTCTTAGTTTTTCTACGATATTATTTATTATTTTTGTGTTCTTTATTATAATTAAAATTAACTTGTATGACAATTTTACATAATATGATTTGAGTAATGACTTAAATGTCCTCACTACATTATTGACGAAAAAGTCACTTACCCAGATTATTGTTACATTTCTGAACTTTAAGTAAAAATTTAAATCTATATAAAATTAACTATAAAATAAAGCAGATTTTGAAAAACATTTTATCATCCACTTTTGACAACCAGGTTGTAGCGCTGGTCTCGATATTGCTTATATTCTTTTTCTTCCAACTTTTGTTCCCTATCCAGTATACTGTTTAAGGATTCTGTACACCTGTTAAATTTTATTAATCTTATATCACGGCAGTCTAACCCACACACTGATATATTCACATTCGCTTATACGTTATTGAATAATAGTGTCGATATTGGAGATATTAATATTTTAAATACTTTTATCGTATATAATATTATTTCAAATATTGTTCTGAAACTATCTTTGTATTTTTCGAAATATTTTAGAAGTGGGAATCCAAGCGTCAAAATAAACTTATTTTTAATTAAAACTTTGGCTTATTCCCAATAATAATAGTAAATTATTTTAAGTAATTTAATACATTAAAGTTTATATAACGTTTGTTATATATACTTACTATATTAACGTCAACAATCTGCTCTTGATTTTGGATACTTAAAATTCCAGCATTATTTACTACAATACCAATTTTGCCAAATCTCTTGTTGGTAGAGTTAAAAAGTTCTAAAAATATCAATTATTATTTCATATACAAACATATGAGATAAAAGGTAATACATAAATAATGTAACAGATTTAAATAATTAAACAATAGTGAATAGAACGTTATAATCAAAATATTGTTTAAGGATCACACTACTAACAGTACAAACACCATTCAAAACATGGATTTTGAAAATTGTTGCTCTGTATCCTTTGGTACCGCGCAGTCAACTGACAACCTAGATACTGAGCAAATACCATAAACGAACTCCAGCAAATACTTTAGACGTCTAGAGAGTCCCACGAAGATAAAGTTTTAAAACCAGCTAGTCATCATTATCATTCTGGCTTTACAACCCTGCGTGGTTCCTAACCTCTTCAATAATTTTTCTCCAGCCGTCCCAATTCATCGACTTCCTCTGCCAAGCACGTATTCCCATATTTCTTATGTCTTCATCAATGTTATCAAGAAACCTTGTTTTGAGTTTTCTTCTTCTCTGATCAATGAGTCTATCAAGGAGCGTTTTTCTAGCTGGGACATTTTGTTTCATCTGCAGTATATGTCCTATCCACTTCGTGTACTAGCTAGTACACAAACAAAATATCGATAATTTTTATTAAATCTTAACTATATGATAACTAATAAGATGATATACATATAAGATAAAATGAATAAAAGTATCTAGACTGTAAAGTGATAATATATGGTTGAATGCTCGAATAAATGAACTTTAAACAAATAAAAGCAGATTTTCAAAAGTTTTTTATTAACTCTTGCCCAAGTACTTTCACTTTCAGATCTTCGGGGACAGCTGAAATAAGCCAAGAAACGGTTTTTTTTAACTTAAACGTTTTCTTTAACTAAGGAAAATTAATTAACTTCGAAAAAATTTGAAGTTGACGGTTGATAATTTTTTTTAATATAACGTTTTAGACTTACTTCGTCAAAATTATAGACCATCTAACAACTTTATGAATGTCATAAACAATAAATAATACATGTACACGACACTAAACAAAGAACAAATAGTTTAAACTTTTTTATAAATTTTGAAAAGCTATATAGTGGGTGACAGCAGGAGAGAGAATGGCTCCTGATCTTCACGGAAATGTTAAAGTGACATCTGACATATGACAACCATGATTGTGACTGCCCATCAAAGTTGTCATATGTCCGATGTCACTTTAACATTTCCGTTAGGACCAGGACGCTTTTTAGAACTACTTGTAAGAACGCAGATCTGAACGAGTATGGTATCAACATAAATGGAGAGAAGCTCAGTCATTTGAGATTCACAGATGACGTCGTCCTTACAGCCGATCGTATAAAGGATGCAATACTAATGTTATGTAACACTCTAGTAGCATTATTAATTCACGAAGTATGAGACGAGCGGATTTAAGTTGAGAACACGAATATCAGTACAGAACCTAAAGCAACCTAGAGCAAAATATCTTGGTTATAAAATCGCTCCTTGATGGATCCATTGGTGCGAGAAGAAAAGGAAGACCCAGAACAAGGTTCCTTGATAACATCGATGAAGTATTGAGAAATATGAGAATACGTTCTTGACGGAGAAAGGCGATGGATAGGGACGATTGGAGAGAAATTCTTAAGAAGGCTAGGACCCAGGCAGGGTCGTTAAGCCAAAATAATGATGATGAACCTGGAACAATAAAAACGAAGAAAAAAATGAGATATAGAAGCTCTTCAAAAGCAACAGATTTCAACTTCTGGTAGAGGAAGATCATAATGTAGACATAGCACAAGCATAGTAGCAAATGGTATCAGTCATAGAACAAGCAGCGAAGGAAAGCATTAAAAAAAAGACTCGCCCAAAACGAAAATGGTTTGAAAAACAATGCAACGACATGCTGGAAATAAAAACTTACAAGCGCAAGATCTTAAAAGAAAAAAAAGTATATATATATATATATATATATATATATATATATATATATATATATATATATATATATATATATATATATAGGTAAAGAAATAATAATAAGACTTACTCACAATCAATTTAATTTAACAATCAGACGACCGGTTTCGCTTTCTACAATTTGCAAAGCATCTTCAGGTCTAGATACAAAGTTAAACTAATGATGCCGGTACTCTATTAATTGATGGATGGTAGGTCATGGTTGCAAAAATCATGTATTGTTGATTGGAGAACTTTAATGTGCTATTGCAGTTGTTTTGACAATAAACGGGAAGTTCTTGAGGAGAACAGATTTGATCCAATGAATTAGAGATAGGTATATTGTGGTTGTTTGTCAAATGAAAGTGATGTTCTTTACTATTGTATTATTTAAATTATTTACACTTATTTCAGAGATATATTTTTGGAATGTGTGTTATTTATTGAGTATTTATGTTATGAAGGAGACAGTTTTATGACAATGAATAAGAGTAGCTGTACCGACTGTGTGGTTGTGCAATTATTTTGACTTGTAATTATCAAGTCTATTGGCAAAATTAATCAATTATTGTAAAGTCAAGTATATAAAAAGTATATAAAATTATTACAAATTAAAACAATCAGGGACAAATTAAACACATATTAACAGGAACAGAAACACTAAATGACGGGACAAACATTGAATTTAAAACTTAAACTTGGGGAATGGAAGAAACTGCAAGCACTACATCTCAGTGTTGGAAGTAATGAGTTTTTGACTCATCAAGCCACCTTTCTAATATGGTTTTTATTGTCACATTGCTGTTGATGGAAAGGATATTGAAGAGATTACGAAGTATAAGTACTTAGGATATAAAATTCAATTGGGTAGAGATAACCAGAAATGGGAGTTTCCACGTCGCATAACAATAACCTGGGCAGTGTTTGATAAATTAATCTATTTTCTTAAATTGGTACTACCCATACACCTCAAAAGTACTCATTTATGAAACTTATGAACTCACTTATGAAATGTACTCATTTATGAAACAAATATATTACCACTCACAAAAAGAGTAATAAACAAGATTCGCGTGACTCAAAATGCTATGAAGCGACAGATTATCTAGCAACATATATCACATACTTACTCTCCAAATCCTTTGGATTGGTCACATCAGTAGGTTGAAAAACAGCCTTGTGCTCACCATATTTCTTATTTAGCCGAAAAGTTTCATTTTTCGTTTCTTGCGAGAGAATATCACCAATAATTACTGTCTAAAATAATAATTATGTTAAGATGTGAACAGTAATTATGTATGTGTCATTTCCAGACTTTCTTTTTCTATTGCCATATTTCAAACGCAAGACATATTAATGCCTGTTCACAAAAATAAGAAATTTATACAAAAATGCACAAAATATAGGGCAAAAAATTGAAAATAAATAAAAAGATTATCTTGGTCATGATCATATCATGATATGTATTTGATTGAATTTGCAGTAGCAGTATATAAAAAGGATAAAAACATACAGTAAATTTTACTTTTATTGCAACTGTGAGTTAACCATACTGCACATAGTTCATTTTTATATCTTGTTTCATTTTTTGGTGCTGGTGTTATTGCATACTTTTACTTATTGCATACTATTTAATTACTGCAGACTATTATTTAAATACTGCCAAAGACACAACCGTATGAGGCAACGGTACATCCAAGCATCGTACCATAACAATCCAGCACTACTTGACTGCGTAACGTCAAATTAAGAATGAATTTACGGAGAATTTCGATTATAACGCTTTGATGATCTATCGTTAGTAAAAATTGTGTTTTTCTTCAAAGATTTTGAAGACTCAAAAAGTCTTGTATAAAATGGAAAAAAATGCTACATCATGATTGTGAAAAGAAATAGTTTTAAATATCTATGATCGGTATTATGGGGCAATGGAGACATAGATAAAGAGATGTGATACATGCAGTAGAGTTAGAGTGAGGTGGATGAAGTAGAAGGAAGCAAGTGGTGTATTGTGTGATAGAGAAATCCACCGCAATTGAATGCAAAATTCTAGAAAATTACGATGAGATGAGCCATAATGTACGGAACTGTCGTGTGAACTAATATTAAAAAATAAAATAAATAATAAACGTATTAAGTAGAATGGTTGATGAAAAACAGCGAAAGATATGGGTTGCTTCAATGAATTCTTTAGAGGGAAAACGTGGACCAGAAAGGCAAAGGATTTCCTGACTGAAAATTCACGTACGTGGTTCAACACAACAACGATAAATCTTTTTAGAGCAGTAGTGTACAAAATACAGATTGTCGTAATAGTCGCCAACATCCGAAACGGATAGGCATTATAAAAAGAAGATGGTTAGGGCATATTGAAGCTCCTAATGATAATTATTCAATACGAAGAGTTGCTACATGGCAAATTCCTAAAATTAGTAGAAAGGGAAGTCCAAAGACGACCTATATGAGGATTGATATTAATATGACCTAAGATAAAAACTTATGGACAAACGTAATACGGAAAGATATCCTCTATGGATATAAAGAAAATAAGAACAATGACGAATAAAAAGACTACTTGCTAATTTGTTGTTGTACATGTACAGTGATTTCGATTACTAGAAATCAACTTCGTCAAATTACCAAAATCCAGAATTAAATTATATAAGAAGAAACATATTATTACCTCTGCTTCAGCTTTTAGCAGTTGTTCTGCTATGGATAAACCAATCCCTTTTGCATCTCCTGTTATGATAGCAATTTTTCCCTTAGTTGGTGAGACGTCATCTTGAGAGTAGTTTGAGTAGTTTCTGTTATTGTTGCCACTGTTTTTAAAAGTGGTAGAACTAAAATTGAAAATAATTTAATGATTATTTTTTAATTTAACTAAAAACTATATGATAAATGAATAGATGAATGATTATCGTTAGCGTGTGTTGTATATATCAAAAAACATGCCTACTCTATGAACATGATTTTTTCATTCTTCTTAGGTTTTGAAAATTGAAAACTGTGTCTACTCAACTTACTTTTAGTTTCTTTCTATAATCCCATAAATCAAATGATTAACTCAGTTTGTTTCTTTAACAACTAGGTCTCCATTTATAGCACATCATTATCATAGCATCTACACCCCTAGCGAAGTGATTGCAGCTCTTTTCATAGCACATATATTAGCGAAATACTCTACCTTTAAGCTATAAACCAAGGTCGCTACTGCAAAGCCCTTTTCTCATTTTACTGAATATCGCCCTAGCTTCTATAATTATCTTCTACCTTATTATTTTTCTTCTTCTACCTTATTTATTGTGTTTTGGTAAGTTTTTATTTTCTTTAAACTGACTTCGAATTGTATGACTACGAAGATATGATCTGATGCATTTAAATATTCAGAAAAATACACTAATTTCTCTATTTTTTCATTACAAAATAAAAATAGTTTATCTATATATTTCTTTGACTATTTCTGTTTTAAAAAAATATCGAAAGAATCTTTAATGTTTTTTAATAGTGTTGACTGTATTATCGGACAAAGTTCTATTCGTCTTCTTGCCAACGTGACATCACAGATTGAACAAGGCACATTGTCTTAAAAAGCACGACGTGTTATTTTTGAGAGCTTTTCTGATCAATCTTCAACCGCTTTGCGTTTGCAACGAGTTTACAATTTCACGATTTAGCTTGTCTATATTTGTGTTAGAGCAGTGCTCTTTGATATATTTTGTCACAGTGGTATTTTTCATTTTGCCCTAATTTAGAATGATTTACTTTTTTTATTGATGGCTATCTACCGCTTTTAGCAACTTTTTTAAAAACTTTTGACAACTGTTTTTAAAAATAATTAACCACTAATAAAGGCTTTATTTTTTAACTCAGAATAATCTTGATGCATGGTTAAATCAGTTAAATCAATTGAAAATACACAACACAGAAACGCATTGACCTGAAATTGAACCAAACAAAGTGAAAAAAGTTAGGGGAGTCTTATACACTATTAAAAATAATAAACTTACTTTACTTTATTTAAAGAAAATATTGACTTACGTAGGAGGTGAGTTCCTGATTCCATTAGGACTATTGTTTAAAGTTACAACATACAACAATTTATTAGTTTTACCCCGATTACCCCAAAAAAACATGTTAAGAAATTTGTTACTCAGAATTTACATGCCAAATGATGACTTTCGATATTATTGACTTATATTTTTGATAGAACTATTGATATGAAGATCAATCAAATTGACATATTGGACAAGGTGAAAATTTATTAATGTAGCCCTTAGATTACGCAGCTAAAATTGCTTAGTTGTGAATAGTTGTAGCAAGACTTGTTTTTTTTTTGTTTATACACATTAACACCCATAACACTTTAAAGACTTCTTAATTTGACAAAGTATTTATAATAAAAGTGACCTCTAAAGAAACCTGAAAATTATTTACAGAGTTGTAGAGTAAATAATATTAAAAATTGAAAGAAATGTTCTTTATCTATGCCTACAATTCCTTCATGAAAGAATCCATAAAATGGTTAACACCGAGCCGCAAGGTTCCATTGAAAAATGAGACGGAGAAAATTATCATCATTCTTTCTTTTCAACCATGCGTGATTCCTCAAAAATTTTCTCTAGTCATCCCTATCCATCGCCTACCTGCGCCAAGCACGTATTTCCATATTTCTTATGTCTTCATCGATGTTACCATGGAACCTTGTTCTGTGTCTTTCTTTTTCTCTAATTAATAGGTCTAACAAGAAGCGTTGTTCTAGCTGGGTCATTTTGTTCCATCCGCATTACATGCCCGATCCACCTCAGACGTTCTATATTAATATGTTTTACAATATCGGGTTCCTGATATATTCTATAAAGTTCGCATTCCATTGTCATTCACTGCTCCATAAATTCGCTTTAGTACTTTTCTTTCGACACATCTTTTCATTACTTTGTGTTAGTCTAGTCTCTAAACCATATGTTAGGACTGGACGTATTATTGTTTTGTAGATATTTATTTTTGTATTTCTTAAAATAATTGAGGATTTAAGAGGGAGATTGATCCCAAAATAGAATCTGTTAGCCGTGAAAATTGTGCGGTTTATCTCTGCGCTAATATTATTTACAGTGTTATGGAGCACTCCAAGGTTTTTCGTTCTCCAACATTATTGATATCATCATTTATTGTTTTAGAAAACGTAGTTTTAACTATTATGGTAGACTGGTGATGGGTGATCATCGGTTTTATTGTAACTATTTATAAGAACTTTTCCTCTACTTAATAAATAATTACAATAAAAAAATCGATGATCACCCATTACCAATTTACCATAACAGTTTGACCTAAAGATGCATTGCAAATTATAGTATAGTATGCGAAACCGGTAGAATAATTTGATTGTGAGTAAGTCATTATCTTATTTTTTTTTACCTATTTGAAACGGACTCACACAGGCAACACATTCAAGATTTAGAAATTTATAACTTCAAACCATCCCAGAAATAACTTGAACACCTGGTTATAATATATTTGTTCTTTTATTGGAGCTTGTGCCATTTGTTTTTAAGTTTGTTTTTAAATCTATGTGTACCTACTGAGACCTGTGTACCTACCTCATAAGACAAGTATTAAATAGCACGTGCATCATTCTTTAAACTTAAAAAGTTTCTTTGTTGTCGGGGTATAAGGTTAGGACTACGCCTAAGAATGCTTTGGTGAACGTATTTACTACTCTTCTTCATGGTTTGAAAGCATGGACCTTAAAACAAGTGCATCTAAGTAAGTTGCCGCTATTGAATTTTGGTATTACACAGGAATCCTATGAATATCATGGAGTCAAAGAATGTCAAACGCAGAAGTTACTAGAAGAATAGGAAATGAAGCTGAAATAATATTGACTAACACAAGAAGAAAACTTGAGTACTGAGGCAATGTGATAAGAGGGCAATGATACTCATTATTTAAGATGGAATGGTTTGAGTAGGTGCAGTAGTGTAGAACTATTTAGAGCGGCAGTCAACAAGGTCCGCATATGATTTCCAGCTCTATAAAAGATAAAACTTAAATAAGAAGAAGTACCTACTGAATATATCTGATTGTTTAGTATATGTTACTAGAAACTTCTATGTCTGATACAAGCTTTAATATAGTGTCGATATTCTATTGTCCACCATATTTCATACATTTTTATTAAAGATTACAACAAAGATTACAACAAGAACAACTAACAACTAACACTTAATAATTGATTTATTGTCTTTTGTCAGTTAAAATGGAAAAATGATAATTAAATATCTAGAGGTAATTTTTCAGGAAATTTTAAATAGCGGGTAGGTACTATACCTTATTTCATTAAGCGATGCAGGGCATATAAGTAACGATAAATTTAACAGGTAATTGTTAAGGATGTTCCAAACGAGTCTACTTGTTCCGATAAGTAACAGTATAATAATTATGACACTTTTCTTATATATATATATATATATATATATATATATATATATATATCTTATATATTTTATTTTTTTCTCAAATATTAGTGTTTATTGCATAGTAAATAAATTATTGTTATCACTGAATACGTACTAAGTCAAAAAATAATCCGATTTATAAAATTATTTTATGCATAAATGCAAGTAACAGTTCTTCAAAAATATTTGAAAACTAACCGAAATGTCCATCTTTATTTCGTCTGCCGACGTTGTCGGCAGCTCATATAGGTTCGGATACGATTTAATGTTTACATCTAGCTGCATCGCTTAATGAATTTTACTATAGACCAGTGAATGACCAGTAAGAATATACCAATATACAGAAAAGAAAATAAAATTTTACCAATTATTATACAATCAACTCAAACTACTAACAAGGATGTTTTTGACGATAAGGTTAATGAAAATCGCAAAATCAGAACAGAGCAATAAACCTTTGGACAAAATATGTCAACTGTAGATCCTATATTCATAGCAAGACAAATAAAACAAAATAACAAAATAAAAGAAGTGTTAGTGCCGTATATTGAATATTCTAAAAAATTTCAATACCAAAAAAAAATATTTTGGTCTACATAAACAATTTCCTTACTTAAAAATCGTTTTAAGTCCGAGCGAATCCATATCCAGCAATTAGTACGTTCATGTCGAAATGGACATAACTGGTTTAAGTACCTAGCTCAAAAAACTTGGTGCCGATGGTAAAACTTTACTCATATTATACAGATCCCTAATTCCTTTCAAAATTGATGATGGATATGTTGCATATGCATCTGCCAACACAACAACGTTAAAACATTTAGATACGTTACATAGGCTTATACTTGGAGCGTACAGAACAACTCCGATTAATAGCATATAAGCTAAAATAGTTGAACCCGTACTAGAGTTTCGTAAGCAGCTATTAACGCTTAATCACACTTTTATCATAACTGTAAATAAAAGAATTTTGATAAATAATATTTTAGACATATTTATGGCTAATGACTCTTATCAAGTTCAATCTCCCATATTCCTGCAGCATTTATCATTTAATGAATCTACTTAACTGGAAGCAATTTCCACCCTTACATCAATACAAAAATATATCTTCATCTAAATTATAAAGATTCCAACAGTCTATTAGAATTACAGTCTCTTCTATCTGTTATATATCTATTCCAAAAAAATATTACCAACCCTAATCTTATCATACAACTCTTCAGAGATGTAATTAACTTCCATTCCGATTATACAGTATACTATACAGATGCGTCTAAAACTGAAAATGGAGTCGGAGTGGCAATAATTAACAACACAGAGATTCTCAAATACAGAATTCCTGGTACTGAAACTATATTAACAGGAGAACTCCAAGCAATTTACCAAGCGATACTACACGCAAATACAAATAAGATGAACAAAATATACGTAGCATCCCTTAGCTTTACTAATAAAGGAAGAACTAAAAAATTGCATATTAAAGATACAAGCATCAAGTTTCTCTTACACATGTTGGAATAGCAGGTAACGAAGCAGCAGACAAAAATGCCAAAGAAGTTATAAATGACAACAGTATCCCGATATTACCCCAATCTGTAAGTATGAATCTAAAAAGCTACTTTCTAAAGCTGGAATAAGCTGGAATTACAAAGCTTTAGAGAACTGGAATAATAAATGGAAATCCACACCATCAAAGCTTCATGAGATAAAAAGGAAGATTTTACCATGGCAACCAGCCGAGGTATCTAGACGACAGCAAATAATTATTTCCAGTTTATGACTTGAACATACCCAGTTTTCTCAAGAACATTTGTTCAAGAAAGAAGAACCTCCAATTTGTGATGAGTGGGGTTCTCCTCTTACGGTAAAGCATATGCTAGTGGAAAAGTGCGAAAAGTCGTCACAGAATTATATACCATTTACCAAACAATCCTACTAAATAATAGATAACCTAATTTTGTTTTTAAAAGACTTAAAGGTACTAAGCAAAGTGTAATCAACTGTTACCGTTTCGCAGATTGAAGCGGGTTTTTTGTGAATAAAATAAAAGAAGTGTAACTGCAATTAATATATTAAACAAGAATTAAATAATATTTAAAAAAATAGGTAATCTATATTTTGAATTATTTGTGTAAAAAAATATATAGTTTTTATTTCTATAATTTTCATAAATATTCATTTTTTTCGTAAAGCAAATCTGTCTGGAAATTCTATCTCGTGTATTTCACCATCTTCAGGATTCCATACACTTCCATTTCCTCCTTCAGTCACAGCTTTTATCATACATTTTGCGACAACATTAGTCCTAAAACGAATACAATACATTAAATATGTGTGCTACAAACTTTTTAAAATTTTATATATATAGAAATAACTTAGTTGCTCCCCGCTAATAAATTAATATCACTTTGGAGATGGGGTAACTTAACTCAGATACAAAAATTCTTGGTTAGTTCCGACATCCGTTTGTAGTTTTGAATTTTAAAAACAATTTTGGAGACATTCTACAAATCATTTTGATATAAGATATAAAGCAGGATTAAATAGTTGGTTAAAATCATTTTAGAGAGTATTAACAATACATGAATAGTGATACCATTTCAAAGCATCGACATAAGAAACTGATTTTGACTGACATCCATAAGTTAATATTATACATACAGCAATAATACAATGTTATATTGTATGGATCCCTAAGAAACCCACATTGGCTAGTACACGTGGAACATCGTAGTCATCTTCCAGGCGAAAAAAATTTCTCTTTGAGAAAAAGTTCTTACCACAACAATAAAACATCACGAACTCTGTAATGTTCTAGTTTTAGCAATAATTTATCAAATTCAAGTGAAAAATCAATCGAGGGGTTCATACTAGTCCAAAGATAAAGTCCATGCAAAAGCTTTTGGAGATTGATAGTTACAGAACGATTAGACATTAACAATATATGGTCTTCTTCTTCTTCTTCGTTTTATGTTAGAGTAAGTGACTCTGTCTGTTTTTCAATGTGCCTTCAGTAAGTTATCGTCCATCGTTTTCGTGGTCTTCTTACTAATCGTCTTCCTATTAGGGAAACGTCTCTTGCCGTCTTTACTATTCTATTTGTGGTCATTCGGTTTATAAGATGGTTCCAGTATACACTTCTATTTCTTACCCAGTTCTTGATGTTTTCCACCTAGCATTTACTTCGTTTATCTGTACTAGCTCTGACTCAGGAATAGTAGACTCAGGGAATCTCTCTGTCTTATCCCATTGCAAATAACCACCTCCAAATATTTAAAATTTAATAAACTAAAGTTGAATATGAAAAAAAAAAACAAAGGCAATTGGTAGTTTTCACTACCAAACATAAATATAGGTTGCTTGATTCTGAAATCATAAATTTAAATATTAATAATAAAAAAATTGAAATTGTCACAACAGTTAAATATTTGGGATTCCATTTTGACAATATTCTGAATTTTGAGAATCACTTCGAGTACGTTCATAAAAAAATATCAAAAAAACTTTACTTTCTGAGTAGAATATCTCAACATTTGTCAATGGAGTCAAAAATAACAGTATATATCACAATTATTCAACCTTATATTGACTATTGCTCGTCAACCTTATATTTATTTAACCTTAACAGAATAGAATAGTCCTAGAAGGTCCAGATGGACGCTAACGTAGATAGGCGTCAAAATGAAAGGTTTGCTGCATGCGCTATAACCGAAACAGGGGCTTACCGAGAAGGGTCAATAATGATTTTGTAGGTATTTCTTTCGAAGCGCGTACTGATCCTCTTGTGTTCGGTAAAGGCAGTGTGAATGCTCAAGTATACGTGCAAGAAGTTCTCCAAGACCATACCATGCCTTTTGCACCATTCATTGGTGATAACTTCAGACTAATGCATGACAATGCACGTTGCCATGCAGTAAGATCTACCCGTGAGTACCTTAATGAGGTCGGGATTTAAGTTCTACCATGACCAGCACACAATCCCGATCTTAACCCAATTGTGCATATCTGAGACAACCTCAAAAGACGGGTAAGAGCAAAAGTACCAGCCCCTGCATCCTTTAAAACGCTGAATATAGCTTTGGTAGAGGAGTGGCACAATATCCCCCAATCTGATATGCAGGATATCGTGAATGGATTGCCAAACCGGCTTCAAGAAGTATTAAGGGCTAGACGCAGCAACACTCATTATTGATACCCAATTTTTTTCAATTAGACGATTAGATTAATTCAAATTAACATAATTGTTAATTTGAATTTTCTTCGAAGATTTTATTCATTAGATTTTTATTGTTTTACTTGTTGTTTACTTTTTACTTTTTTTTTCAAAAAGATTATTTTTTTCTCTTTCGCGGAGATAAAAATTGATAAAATACATGTCTAGTTGTTAAAGAACTTTTGTATTATCCAACATAAGCAAATCAATCAAATAACAAAATGTTGAACACACATGAGGCTATAGTTACGATTTAATTTTAGTATTCTACAGATGCTAGAATATTCCACAGGGTGGTGCAAACTGAAAAAAAAAAACACAGTTTGGTTCGTACACCCGGTATACAATAAAAATTTACCTGTTTAGCAACAATATTATTATAAAGATATTGTCAAGGAAAAAGGCTATAACATATTAAAAAAATCACTTAAGTCGGACAACAGGTTTAGGAGATACAAGAAATCAAAAATTACCCATTATTAAGGTGACCCGTTAATTTTGGCCCAGAGTGTATAACCGAAGATTTTCCGCCACACACATCGATAGTAGATAACAGCAGCAAAGCCTCACGTTAAAATAATATAATAAGGGTCAAAGAATATCCCCAAAAATTGTAAAGCACATCACCGTCACAATTATTATAAACTCAATGGCAAAAGAAAAAGAAAATGAACGATACTTATTTGAACTCTGGAGTAAAATTGTCAAAAAAGTTTTGGAGCATATAGTCATAATAACTATTGTCTTTGCCTAGTTCTACTATTTAAAAAAAAACCAAACAAATTTCATAGGCTGTACATGCTTTTGTACTTACGATTGACCCGTCAATGCACTGAAACCTGCTTCCACATGTTCTCTATAACCGGGAAAATCTTTTAACGTATTTTCTTTGCCAATACCGATCAACCTAGTGTTGGTGAGACCGGGACATATAACTCTAAATGATACTCCTGTCAAATCGTAGAAAAAAGGAGATGCCAACGATCCCGTAAGACCTAAAACAAAGTGTTTGGTTCCTGAATATACTGGTACAATATCCATGGGAGTAAGGCCAGCGATTGATGATACATTAACGACCACTCCTCCTTTTCCGCCGTTGTGTTTTCCCATGTACCGAAGAGCTAGAAAGGTACTTCTTGTAACGGCAATCTAAAAATAAAAATATAAAATCAAGCGATTTGCAATAGGAATATAATTTTTTTTACTCGTCTTTCATATTTTGAGTTTAGTTAAATTCGTAATGATTTCAATTTGTAATTTAAACATAAAATAATGCGATTTTTTATAAACGAACATCCGATTTTATTTGAATACCATATTGGACCGAATATTTTAGAGGTAATCACAACATTTAAGGATCTTGGGGTAATTTTTGACCCATCAATAAGCTTCAAGGACCACTTTTCTTGTGTTTCTAATAGATCCATGAATATTTAGGTTTCATGGAACTTAGCTTCTCTGAATTTGATATTTATTGTCTCTAGAACATGTACTTTTTCCTTATTAGATCGGGTTTGGAATGTGGTATAGTGTATTTTTATGTATAAGAGAGTAATAAAACAATAAACTATGTATGCAAATCCCTAAACTGTTGATACGGGTGACTCAATGAAAAACAGATATTTGTCAACAAGTTTACAGAAGTATATGGGAAAACAATTTTAAATTAAGTATGACCACCAGGTATAAAGGTTGGAGCAGAATAGAATACAATAGTTGTGAGGGTTACTAATCTCTAAATAAGGTTGCCAGTGTCGAAGTGATGGAGGTTAACAGGTACTAATGAATTTGCAAGAAATGTAAGATGTTTATTTTATTGGTTATATATAACCAATAAAAGTTTAATAAGTACCTACCTATTTGCAAAATAAAGTTTAATTCTTTAAATAAAATAAAACGTTTTATTTTATCTGAAATGAGTGCATTCCACGAAGTAAGGGTTTCAACAATCAAACATTTAATTCTTTAATTCCAGGAATCTACGACAGTAATTGACTAGATAATTACCTTCTAAACTTATTCCACAGAAAATGTGATGGTGGGTTTTTCCATTTTGTAGGAAGGTCCAAGTGACGTATTCAAAATTCTTAACAGTTCACTAAAAGTAGGTACTTCAGTTGCAAGGTGCAGTTTATTGTATATACTAGTGTTATAGAAAATTTGGAAGTGTCGTGTAAACGCCGAAAAATTGGTCCTTTAACAGTTAATGAAAAAACATTAATATTTAATTGTTTTAAATCATTTACAGACAAACGTTTATGTGAAAGTGTTGATGAGACCGATGAGTTAGTTAGCAGTACACTTGGTGTTGGGAAATCTACGATTTACAGAGTTATTAAAGAAGAGAAATGTGGTAGTTTTCAAATGCCACGTATTGCTCCAGGGAAACCAAAATTTCAAATAGAATATCATTTTAAAGAAGGACTTCGACGGAAAGTGCATGAATTCTTCTTTAAACAAGAATTTCCAACATTGGATAAAGTTATTGTCTCAGTTCGAGATGATAAGGATTACCCAGAAATGAGTCGAAGTACGTTATGGAAACTTTTAAAAGAAATAGGCTTCCGCTGAAAAAAGAATCCCAGAAAGTCTATTTTATTAGAAAGAAGCGATATTGTCATATGGAGAAGATATTTTCTAAGAACCATAAAGGAAATGAGAAACCAAAAAAGAAAAATATTTTATCTTGATAAAACATGGATCAACGAGGGTCATACACCAAATAAATTTTGGCAGGATGAAACTATTACAAGTCAAAGGCACGCTTTTGTAAATAACTTATCTACTGGTTTAAACCCACCATCAGGAAAGGGACGCAGGCTGATAATAGTACACATTGGCAGTTCAGACGGTTTTGTTGAAGGTGGTTTATTAACTTTTGAATCAACTCGTACCGGTGATTACCATGAAGACATGAACGCTGATATCTTTCAAGAATGGTTCGAACAAATGATAGATCTTCTTCCTAAGAACTGTGTAATAGTAATGGATAATGCAAGTTATCACTCCAGACTTATAGAAGGACTGCCCACAACCAAGTGGTTGAAAAAAGACTTGCAGAATTGGCTGAGTTGAATAAATATTACGTACCATCCCGGATCTATAAGAAAGGAACTTTATTCGTTGTATGCCCTTCATAAAGAAAAATATAAAAAATACGAAATTGATGAAATTGCCAAAAATCGTGGAATGAAAGTACTTAGATCCCCACCATATCATTGTGAATTAAACCCGATTGAACTGGTATGGGCACAGATAAAAAGTGAAGTTTCAAGAAAAAATACCACTTTTAAAATTCATGATGTTAAACAGTTGTTTTTAAACAAAGAGGAAAAAATGTGGAAGCTGGACAATATTACTGATAAAACGATCGAGCCAGTTATTATAAATCTTGGTTCTGAAAGTTCATCTTCTGAATCTGATTTGGATTTGTAACAAGTAGCTGTAAGTTTTATATTAATATTTTTATTCATCTATTTAACATACCTTAGACGGTTTTAAAAAATTTTTTTCTCTTTTGTAAATTTTAAAAATTAAAAAAAATGTGATTTTTTTTAAACCCTTTTTAATGTAGGCCAGTCAGTTCTAATATAGTGTGTGATAAAAGAGGTCACTTTTGTTTACATACACATAACACTTTATAACACTGAAATAATTCATTTATTTTTTACAATTATTCAAAGTAATTTTTCAATTAATCTTGAGCACGCCCATGGAGTGGTCGGAGGTACCAGTTAAAATTATGCTAATTACTCTCTCGTTCATAAAAATAAACTATAGCAATATTTGGTCTCCTCATTATAAATGCTAGAAATATCTATTAGAAAGAGTACCGAAAACGTTCTTATGATTTATTGCTTTTAAATTGAGAATACCTGAAAATTAAATTGAATATATTGTTTTGCAATCTTTACTTAAATTGTCTGCTTTTGAAGAAAGGCGCATATTGGTAGATGTAGCATTTATATATAAATTGATACGAGGATGCACTGATGCTAGTGCTCTTATGGAAAACGTTTACCTCCGTACTCTGTAGAGACACCAGAGCCCAAGACTTATTTTATTTAGAATTTCATAATTGAACCTATACTGTAAATAAACCATTACAGAGAATGTGTAGAAATGCAAACAAATTTAATAGTAATCACTTTTTTCATTTATCACCAAGTAATATTACCAATAAGATCGAAAATAACTTTTTATGTAATCACATTGTACTTTAATAGTTTAAGCTAAATTTAAGTTGATTTGTAAAAAAATGGTAAGTCCGTAAATAAAAATTACATTACATTACATTCTTAGGGCAAAATAGTTGTGAACCGATACACATTTATTATCATTTTTTGTCAAATTTTCTTACCGCATTAATACTGATTTCTAGCTCCCACTGGCCATCATTCCATATCCCTGCATTATTAATTACGACATCTAATCCACCAAGTTGGGCAAATGCGTATTTGTAAGCGTCTATAATAAAATAAAAATCAATTTATATAATAAATAAAAAAAAATTACATTTTCGCAAATGTTTTTATACAAAAATATATTTATTTCTTCTTTAACCTTGCCGACGTTGGATGTTTATGTATTGGAAACGAAATATTATATTGTAAGCAATGGCATCACAACAGACCAGATTCTAATTGAGATTTCGACTTAAAACATGTCGAAATTAATATGGCGACGTCGAAATGCGACTTTACGAGTCTAGTGGATTTCAGCTAAACTAACCAAAGGACATCACTAATTTTAGATTTATCGAAATTAATTTCAACTTCAAGAAAGTGGTTGAAATTTTATTTCGAGTCGAAATTAATGTGCCATGACTGGGTGGGCTGGGACAAGTGAGATTAGGTTCAGTTTAGGCGGTATTGTGTTTTGTTTGATTCTTGCAAGGATTCTTGCTTCTCAGGCAAAAAGTATTAATATGGCTGCGTTTTATGGACATTTGCTGGTTTTAGAGGAAATAGAGAGAATAGATATCCGACGCTCACAACGGAGGATAAGAAGAATGTTACGGGATACTCAAAATCCTTTTTCACTAAGTGGTGCTCAATTTAGGCAGCAATTCCGCCTTAATAAACAAGCTGCAAATTATTTGATAAGGGTATTAGAACCATATTTGGAGGAGGTTGCTTAAGCCTCTAGGAGACCCAAAATGTTTAGGGTAAGTATTACTAAGCTGCAGTAAATTTAAAAATATATTAGAATATAACCACTAAGTCAAAAGCCACCATAATTTCTTTTTGGTCCACAGACAATTTAGTGCCACCATCACCGACAGCCTCTCCATCCATTTTCTTTCAATTCAAAATATAATAATTGAGAATGGCCACAAAAATTTAACAATTCAAACAAGAAACAAAAGGCGTAACGTAAACAAAACAAACATTTAACAAGCGTTGTGTAGCGTGCAGCCAATAAACAAGACGGCCAAGCCAACCCAAATTCTGAGCAGAATCAAAATGATAAAGTAAATATCCCCACTTTTAACTAAAATCGGAATGAATGAGAATCACTAGCGATTGCGACTGTCATGGCGTAGTAGCTTTTAAATTTCGACATCAAAATGAAATAGAATTAGGAGCCAGGCCGATAAAATTTGAGTTTATCGTATGGGTTTTAAAACAAGAAATGTGTGTTTAGTTTAGTAATCAATCAGTCACAATTTGCATCGGACCGCGATACATACCTTCCCCAACGAGCATTAATTAAGTTTTACGAAAAAAATATTATTAACAGTTTTTTCTGTTTTATTCGATTTTATTATTATTTTTATTTTGTTTCCATGGAAAATAAGTTTATCACACACGCATCCACACAACCACGGAACTATGGTGACCCCGCGAGCATTGAACATTAAATAATTGGACATTGAACAGTAAATATTCGTGACTCCGTGAACGTTTAAAAAGAATAATGTTAAAAATATACTTTTGCTGGTTAAAACAGAGAATCTGAATCAGTGAAAATGCCAGATAGTGCCAATAAGAGTTTTATAGGAGTGGATGTCATAACAGTGTATATCTCACCGTTCTTTGCCAGCATTCCCGAAATATGGTTCCTGCAAGTAGAAAACCTATTTGCACTAGCAAACATTACAAGTGACGCAACAAAATTCAATTATATAGTTGCTAATCTAAAAACGGCATACATATTCAAAGTGAGAGATATCATTGTATCACCATTAGCTAGAAACAGGTATGTAAAGTTAAAAACAGAATTAATTAGGGGATTCAGTGCATCACGACAACAAGAAATTAAAAGACACAAAGAGTTGGGCGATCGAAGACCATTTCAATTCTTACGATTCAGTCTTTAGCAGGTACAACGGTACCAGATAATATTATGGGATCTCTGTGGTTAGGTAGACTACCTTCCTCTACACAGGCTATTTTAGCTACCCAATCAAATGCTGATATAGACAGAGTTGCCGAGCTAACAGGTACAGTTTTCGAAGCCGTAGAACACAAATAATACCGCAACTGCTCAACCACAAACTAATACATACCGTCGTTACCGCAGCACCACAAGAGGAAGACCGTACCATAGAAACAGAAGCCACAGCAGGGAACATAATAGTGACACATGTTGGTATCACTACTGTTTTGATGATAGTACTGAAAAGTGCATACCTTCGTGCAAGCACCAGGAAAATAACACGGGAAATCGGTAAGTGCGGCATAAAAGACTGCATACGAACTATACGCGGCCAATGGCACTGTGATCACAACATACGGTTATGTTAACTTGACATTCAATATCGGATTAAGGCATGATTTTACGTGGCGCTTCGTAGTGGCGGACATTTCAAAGCCTATTATAGGAGCTGATTTTTTATCACATTTCGCTCTCCTAGTAGACATTGCTAACCAGTACTTAATATACAGTATACCAACTCTTTGAACGAAGGGACTCGTTAAATATTGTTTCGATAGCAGCGTAAAGAATCGCACACAAGTGTCACGTTTCCATATCCTGTTAGCTAAGTTTCCGAAAATCACGCGACTTGCAGGTATTGTGAAAGACATTCAACATCAAACCAAGCACTTATAAAAAGAACTTACTTTCGAGTTCCTCTGGATCAGTAACATTTACTTTTAGAAAATGTGCTTTGTTTTGGCCGTATTGAGTGTTCAGTTCGCCTATAGATAATTTTCCTTTTTCTGCATTGATATCAGCTATAATAACAGCCTAAAAAAAGAATTTTAATTAAAATTATATAGTCATCTGTTTCTAAAATTAATATTACGAGTACGACTTTCACTATAGTGCATTCGTAGATTTGGCCTTTAAAAATCATACAAGCAAGCTGGATTTTGCTGAGAATATCTACGTTGGGGCCCAATAAACATGCAAAAAGTTAACCACTTCTACCCCTTTTACTTTAGTCTTTCCCCTAAAACGCACCTTATAGAAAAAATGGAAAAAATCGATTTGCCAAGATGTAGCCGAGATAATTTTAATCAAATTTCTTTAATAATAATATTTATACACTTTTTGTGTAGAATAAACCGTTCACTCAAAAACAACAATTAAATCAACCTGCGATTTTAAAAGTCGAATTTTGAATAATTCGATATCTTTTGACCACAGTGCCCTGTCGACAAAAATCAATATTCGTTTTAAAAAATTTGCGATTTATGCCATTTTTTACGATTCTCACAAGATCAATAAAATGTATTACTTTCATTATCTGTTCAAAGTGGAATTTTCATTGTTATAGCCTAATCTTCAAAACTTTCCATTTTCCCTCATACGAGGGAAAGCCTTTGCACCTTTTTGCGTCACTGAGATTAATATTAATAATATGAACATTTCTGGTCTGTACATAATAACACAAATTGGTATTTCTTTGATATGGATTTCGATTAATATGGCGCGTCAACTAAATATAAACCTTTCAACTAAGATCCACGATAGGAGCCGGGTTCATTGTTTAGTCCGGATTTCCTTCAAATTGGTTATTGGTTTTTTTTGTTGTTTGTTTTTTGTAATCAAAAAATAGTAAAGTGTAGTAGCAGTGAGAGTGGAGATTCAAATCGAAAGAAATAGCTTAGAGGTGTATAGTTTTTCAAAGCCGGCAAAATTTTTTTTGTTGAGAGGTGAAGTTGATCTCAAGGTACTATTTGGTGTCTTCGATGAGTTAATTAATCACCCAGTCATCGATTCGTTGTGTTGTGTCCCATATGAGAAGTTTTTAAACAGCGTTTTCAACAATTTGAGAGGCCCACATGGTTTCAAGAAGGAAATGAGCAGCCAAGTTTTGAATAGTGCAGTTACTTATCATCCAGGATAATTAGAAGCCCGAATAATTGTCCTACCTCCCCAGGACCTGTCCATTTTGTTGTTTCCATGATCACCCCCGACTATTTGCAGTTTGTGTGGGACACAGTTGTGTGTTGTTTGCAGTGGTTTTGATTAAATTCAAATCCCAAAAACTTTCTTAAAGAAAATACCAGCCAGACTGATATAGGGAAAGGAAAGCCTTTCTTTCTATCTAGCGGAAGGATTATTTTAAACGGCTTCCAATTCAAATAGTTTAGAAACCTTCTTGTGTTTTGTTATCCAGGAATTCTGTGTAAGTATTTTTTTTATTTATTTCTGTGTAGTTACCCCTTTCAGTCCCTTCTTTATTCACTTACTTGCGATTCAGCTCTCCAATTAAAACAAGAATGGTCGTTTGCAAATGTTTCGGTTTATTTGCGTATCCTATCTCCAGCCCAGTAATTGCTCAATCTCAACTTTCAACCCCCTACAAGTGATACCCAATGTGTTAGGCAAATTAAATCGTTACAAACGTATAACATAAAATTCTGATTATAAGTTTTGGCAACAAATATCGGGCATTTTAAAGGACCTGTCGTCACGGCAAATGCCTTCGCAAAGACGGTGTTAAGTGGAGTTCGTAGCTGAAGTTGTTTGAAAAAAAGCAGTTTTAATCGTTTTAGGTCGTTTGTAATGTGGAAGTTTAAATTCATTGTGTTTTAGGCGTATTTCAAGTGTAGATATTCTCGGAAAATCGATTTTTTCCTCCCCTACGAGGGGATATTTTAGGGGGAGCAGGGGAGTGTAAGTGGTAAACTTTTGTGCATATTTTTTGGGATTCCAAAATTAATATTTCGGCTAAATTCAGCTTGTTCATACGATTTTTAAAGGTTCAGTGCCATTTTCGTCTCTCGACTGGAGTGTTAGTGAATTATCATTAACGTGTTAATATATTTTCATCCCTACGGATATTTTGTGAATAATTTCTATTGAATGGATTTTACTTTACTAATTTTATGTTGTAGTTCCTTAATGTCAAAAAATGGTATTTTTAAAAAACATAGGTTCAATAATACGAAGATTCCTGCTTCTTTAACGTATACTGAGTAATTAAAGTAACAATAAATCTCATTTTCGGTGATTTCATATAGATATCCAGAATCCAAGTACATGGAGAAACGTATTTTTACACCTTGAATAAGAAACTACCAACTGGATACATGCAAAGCTTATATTTGTTCCAACGTTCTCGAATTAATACTTAAACCTTTGTATCTTTTCAGCTGACTTACGGCTTTTTGGAACTCATATTTGTAGAAACAAATTTATCAGTAGCAGCATAGCTTATACAGTCTGTAAAAGAATTACTTATAGTGATAAATCAATTAGGCAAGCCAATTTTATAGCTGTACCAAAATATGTATATTTTAACATTTCTATTTTTTCTGTATAAAACGGTAAACAAGTAGTTAGCGTAAAGAAATCCTCTTGCAGAAACTTATTTATAAAAATACTAATATCCTATATAAAAATCTTCTATGAAAGTAGAATCATTTTCCTTTTTTTTAGTTATTATCATCTCCTTCAGATATTAGTTCATATATTGAAATAATAATCAGAAACATATAATTATCATTACACTAATACCACTAATATAATACCAGCTTTTTTAATCAAAGATATAAATACTCACTTTTACACCATTTTCTAACAAATGCTTTGCAAAAGCTAATCCAATACCTTCAGCTCCTCCTGTCACTAGACTCACCTTGTCATTGAGGTCAAAACCCATTCTGGACCCAACTAACTAAAAAATATTATTTTATTGATAAATTATGATTAGTTTTCATAATTATAAACCTATATTTACCGGCTATTAAAATTTTTTGTTGATAATTAATTAAAAATTAATTAACCAATAATATTAACCATTAAGTATTCATATTAATTATAAGACAGATTTATAGAATAAATGCTAAAGTAGATATTAATATTCTACCGAATAAATCACAAAATCAAATCTTTTTTTTTAATACTATTTAAAATCTACCCATCAACAGTACATTGAGTACTGTAACTGTAATTCAAATAAAAATTATGAGGAATAATTAATAATATAAACCCTACTTGCCAGAAAACACCTTTATCTGTCATTATTCACAAGTAATATAAAGTACCAGTTCTAAAAGTAAAAAACTAGGAGTATAAAATAGTCGATAGTATTAATTCATCTTGGTGGACAGTGGGCTACCCTCCAAAATGAGATATTATCATCGTCGATAAATCTTACCATTTTTCTAATGCCTTTAACCTTCTTCTTCTTCTTCAGTCTTCATTTATCCATTGTTGGGAATAGGCCTTCTCTAATGCTTCCACGCTTCCCTATCTTTTGCAATTCTCATCCACTCCTTTGCAGCTACAGCTGTTATATCGTCTATTCATCTCTTTTTGAGTCTTCCCACGCTTCTGTTTGATTCTCGAGCTCTCCAGAATGTCACTTTATGAGACCATCTGTTGGTGTCTCGTCTTACTACGTGTGCTACTCATTGCCATCTCAATGTCGCTATTTTTCCCATTATGTCGGTTACTTTAGTTCTTCGATGTATTTCGGTTAGGAATTTTGTCTCTGAGGCTTATATTTAACATGGCCCTCTCCATGGCCAGTTAAGTTACTCTTAATTGTTCTGACATTTTTCTTGTTATTGCCATAGTTTCCTATCCATAAGCTGCAACTGGTAGTATAAGAGTGTCATAGGTTTTTCGTTTTAAGTGTATTCTTTAACCTTGGATGCTATTAATGGGCATTTTAAGTAATCCGCTTAAGTTTAAGTTTTCCGTTTTCCCAACAATATTGATGTCATCATCATAGGAATGGATTTGCACTGATTTGTTATATATTGAATCAGTGGTTGTAATTTGTGACATACGTATTACTTTTTCCAGAGTCATGTTGGCCGTTATACAGAAAAAAGGGTCTCATTGGCACAATTCGGTATTTGTTTTATAAGATTCAGACAGTTCTCCCTGGATTCGTACTCTACATTCAACTTTTTCAGTTCTTCTTCTTTTACGACACTACAGCCCAAATTGAGCCTTGGCCTCCTTTATTATTATTTGCCTTCACTCCTAAAAGTGTTTGTGCGTCTCTGTTTACTGTGTCTTCTCAGCGCTTTCTTGTCTTTCCAATTGGTTTCTTTCCCTGTGTTCTAGCATTCAGTGCTCTTTTTGGTAACCTATCCTCTCCCATTCTTATCACATGTCCGGCCCATTGCAATCTATGCATTTTAATAAAGTCTGACAGTGGTGCTTCCTTATAAAGTTCATAAAGCTCGTTGTTCTATCAATTTCTGAAAATTCCGTTTCCCCTCACAGTTCCTGAATTGTGCTTTTTTTTATTTTATTTTATTTTCTTTTTTCTATTATCTCAGACGAAATTTTCAGTATACAAAAAACCCTTAGCGATAAAATTGTGGTAGAACTTCGTAACAAGTAAATAATGGATGCAAATACGCCTGTTCAAGAGTTACTTTATAAATTTCTTTAGAAATTCGAATAGACATATTCAAAAAACAGTTTTCCAATTTCAATAAACTTTTTTGACTATACACAAACATTTTAGTTACAATATATTTTGAGAAAATGATTTCTTTGTTTCCTTTTTCTTCTTAAAATTTGCAGAGTAATGCTCCTATTATATTTACTTACCTCATAAAACAATTAAATAAGTACTAGTTGGAAAATCCCAAGTAAATTAAAACTAATAAAATGATACTTACAAAAGGAAATTGCTTGTTAGTTTAATTACAACATTTATCTTAAAAGGTCTTATAAGTGATTTTAAATAAGACTGTAGTAATCACTACTCTTCGATTGTTGATTTATGTTCAAGGTAATATTTGGAGAGGCCATCTAATTAAAAGAATTAAATAATATATACTTATATAATTAATTTACAGTTACGATTATTTATCTATTTATTTATTTATTAAATTAATTAGTGCAATATTTGGATGTAACTTAGGAAAAAGAGAAGAGTTTGGTTTTTCGCTGAAGCATAAAGCTTTATTTTCACTTCATAACATTTAGTGGCACAATAAATGGGAAATACCAAAGCAATGTGTTTCAGCAAAGGAAAATTAAACACTTTTATAAACGCGATAAATAAAGAATGGGCAATAGAGTGGACGTCTACATACATTTTGGAGTAATATTTGACAAACAGGTAAATATATAGTAGGAGAGCTGGTAGACATTTTTTGGTAGGAATTTGAGGCATTCTGGACATAGTTCAGATATCTCTTCCATAATTTAATAATACAATGAGAATCGGACAAGGTGAAATAGAACAAGTTAAGGATTGTATATATCTTGGTCAAACTATAAAACTTAACAAAGAGAACCAAACAGCAGAGATCAAGAGACGAGTTAGACTGGCATGGGCGGCATTTGGCAAACTAAGCTACATTCTTAAAAACAAAAGATATTCACAGCATCTTAAGATCAAAGTATATAATCAATGCGTACTCCCTGCTCTTACTTATGGTTCCCAAACGTGGACATCTACAAAAGCAAACATAGACAAAATTATAAAAACCCAAAGAGCAATGGAAAGACAAATGTTGCACATAAAACTAATGGATACGAAGAGAAACAAGTGGATAAGAGAGAAAACAAAAGTGAGGGATGTTACACAAGAAGTTGCAAAATTGAAATGGAGATTTGCCGGACACAATATAGGACAAAAAGAAGACCGATGGAACAAAATTCTTATAAGTTGGAGACCGTGGGAATATAAACGAAGCAGAGGAAGGCCCCAAATGAGATGGGCAGATGATATCAAGAAGCACGTGGGCTCTAGATGGATGACTGTAGCGACAGACAGAGAAGAATGGAAAAGGATTGGGGAGGCCTATGTCCAAAGATGGACCGAAGAAGGTTAATTAGATAGATAGATAGATAGATAGAATTTAATAATACAGAAATGTAGACCTGGCTGGAGAGTAGCGGTCATTTAACAACCACTAAATTAAAATAAAAAACATGTGAAATATTGTATTACAAAAAATACCTTTGAGGCAACTTGCAATATTTTTAAAGTAAATTTAAAGATTCAAAAATTAAGAAAACAAACCAGCCAGGTGATTTACGAGAGATTTTAGCTCTACAAGTGGTTTGCAAAACTAGTTTACAAATAAATACAAAAAGTATGGTTAAGACAAGTTGCGATTTTGACAAAGTATTTTTAATATTAAAAATAAATCATTCATTTATATATTCAAATAAGTCATTTTGGAGAGATTTTCTAGCTGCCAGATGATCAAAAAAAATTACGCGTGCGTGTGAGTGAAAAGCGCTGTAGGTAAAGCGGCAGTGTGTGAGAGACCTATAGAAATTGTCAGGGAATATACCGGTTTCACCCGACTGAAAAACAAATTGCAACACTACCTATTGGTGGACTACAGCGGAATATTGATTGACTATTCCATCGCCTATGTCTGTTACAAATCATTCAATTAAAATACTCTCCAGAACTGATATACCTACAAGAATCTTATCTTACTCCTTTCAATATATACTCACCAAAACAATTCAACTGTTTTCGCAATGATGGAACAAACACCAACCGCACTAGTGAAGAAGTAGCAATTTTGGTAAAAATTGAATAGAACATGAAGCCTTTCCACTTTCTCCAGAACCACAGAACCACACAAAAAATGCTACGTCTGTGATATTTACCTGCCTCCTAATCTACCAGTGAATTATGAATACCTCCGCAAAATTGTCTAATTAGATACCCACACTACGCATAATTTTAGGTGACTTGAATACCCATAATACAATTTGGGGCTCACAAAATACAATTTTAAGAAGCCAAATATTAATCAGAGGACATTATTACAGATAAGTTTTAGAATAGAACTGTCATTCATTATAAAAAAAACATTTATATGAATGCACTGATTTTAAAATTATTTTTAGCAAACGTATAAACATGGTTTTGACACTGACTTTTTCGTCATAAATTAATACATTTTGTTTACGATAAAAATGTGACGTTTTACTAAAACCTCCGATATTTAAAAAAAAAATTTTCACGATCAATACTCAAAAAATAATTTTTTTCTTCAAACGTCAAATAATTATGACATTACTTATCTAACTTGATCCTGTCAAAGTTTGATGTCTCCGCCGGCAGCAGATTTTTTCCCATTTCTTTACGGCGGAGGTAAAAATGTTGTCATAGCAACAATATGAAACATGTCACAAAGCAACAATACAAATGTCATTAACAACAATTAAACATCATTTTTATTTATAGTAATATTAAAAGTACAATTAGTTAATGAAGCATTTTCAAAATTGAAACCGTGCAAAAATGTTCCCGACTCTTGAATCATGAGTTGTTGTTGTTGAATCATGAGGGTTTAAATTTTTTTGAGCATTATCGTTCTTATTTCTTATTGAATCCTCTATATATCCTTCGGCAACCATGCTTGATTTCCAGCCCCCATGTCGTTTGAGGCATTCTAGATTTCCGCCTCCATCAATTAAAAGTGTTGCTGAATTTCGTCGTAAAGTGTATGCGCTTGCATCGTTTAAATTTAAATAACTAGCTACTTTTTGGGCTACTGCGCTGATCGAATGTATTCCCATGATGCTTCGGTAACACTTTCCATTTTGGTACTTGATAAAAAATCGGTTTTCTGTGAAATTTTCAGGCCGCAGTGATGCATACTTCTTATACAGTTTAATGTATTTTGACCAATTATCGTAAAAGATCTAATTTGTCGTGTTTTACTGTCTGGGATTTTGATAATTATTACATTTTCTTTATGCTCAATATCCACAGTCTTCATTTTTACCATTTCGTCGCATCGATAGGCGCCGGTAACCCCAATTAACAAAACAATCTGAAATATTTTTATAATTTAGTAGAGTATACTACATACTTTGCAATATAATTTTTTTTGCCTTTAATCCTAAATACAACTTATCTGGCGCTTCAAACAAAAATTTATCAAACTCGTCTTTAGTGAAAACTTTAGACTTCTTTGCAGTATATTCTTCGCTTGTTTTTTTTTCAGAAAGGCACGTAACTTTAAAAATTTGCTTATATCCACATTTTTTCTAATAACTAACTCGGATTTTATCATAGAGTATCGTGACCTTATTGTAGAAATTTCCATCTATTTTCATTTTCCATTATATTAAAATATGCCAGTAAAACGTCTTCGGTAACTTGCCGTACTCCTCTTGTATCGCACCACTCTTGGAAGTGCTTGTACGCTAACCGATACTTTATTTCGGACTTGGAGGGCCCCAAACGTGCTACTCCATCATTAGCTGCGGACTCAATTTCGTTTAGGTTTTCCCTTTTCGCACTAAATTTGCGCTTGCGGTTGCAACAACAATAAGCTGTCTTTAATAATTGCAAACAACTGTCAAACAATTGTAACCAGGGAGACGCAAATCCCACCGACGCGACGACTTAATTATTTTAATTTCTAACATCTAGATGACTTTGATAGTTGTCACAGTTAATTTCTAGTAAAAATAGCATATGAATTGTACTATTTATGGTTGAAAATTGCTACGTTTGAAGAAAAAATAGTTTACTTTATTCGGCAAAGAAGCAACTTTTCTTGACTTGCCCTCTATTACGCGCCTCACTTCGTTCGGAGCGTAATATCGGGCGCGTCAAGAAAAGTCATGCTTCTCCGCCTCATAAAGTAATATACTATTATATAGGAGATACTTCGGGAAACAAGTTTTATAAAATTGTAACATGTAGTGTGCTTGATTAATGTTTTTTTGTTCGTTTAAAATTGACTAAGGAAATCGTCCTTTATCTTAATATCTTGTATATAAAATTTTAATAGAGGTGAAAACCAATTAAATTAGGATATTTTATTATGCACTGATCGACAAAAAAAGTGGCGACCCTATAAATTTCCGAAAATAAAAATTCATTGGAAGTTTTATGCACTGTTTTATATTGTATACTTAACATCTTTCATTTTTCAAACAAAAAATGGTCATTACTGCTTGATTTCTTAGCATAATTTATTTAATTAGAAGGTTACAAAAGAAAATAGTGTAATGTCGAAACGAATTACAAACAATAAAAATTACGAGTGAACTTGAACAAATTTGTCTAATATCGGGTATTATGCCCTAAAATATAAATAACCGTTTGCATGCAATTTGGAAGGGAAAGGAACAAATTTTAAATAAAAAATTGAGGAACACGTTTATATTCTTCACAAAGCATATTTTGAAGTTCTGCAATACTTGCTGACTGGCCTGATTAACTTCTAACCCACGATAAAGTTCACCTCAAAGATGTTCGATGATATTAAAATGAGACAGGCCATTCTCGAGTAATAAATCCTATTTCCCCCAAAAAATTTGTCACGTTTCTTGCATGATGCGGCCGTGCATTATTATGCATAAAGACGAAATTGTCCCCAATAAATGAACCAAATGGAACTACTGCTTCTGCCAAAACATCCTCTATATACTGGTGAGCACTCAAAGAGCCATTGATGAAAATAACTTTAGTTTAAACTTCAAATGAGATTCCAGCCCAAACCATAATATCACTACACGAAACTTTCTTCTCTGCGACATAAAAGCTTGGGCATATATTCCATTTATCCATCTCCAAACCCTCTCTCGACCATCGCCAGACTTCAAACAGAATCGCGATTCGTCAGTAAAGAGAATTCGGTTCCAATCCTATATATTCCAGTGTTGATGTTGTCGAGCAATAACTAATCGATTCCTACAGTGTGTGTGTTGTAATTCAGGAAAAACAGTCGGCCTTCTTGCCATTAGTCCTCTTTCATTAGAAGGTGTGTTCTAACCGATTTGAACTCCTCCTGCAACGGTTTCTGGCAACAATTGCAGTGGAATTGCGATTTGTTAAAAGTTCCATCAATATAAAACGATCATCTCTTTGCAACGTAACTCTTCTACGACCGGCACCAGGCCGACCAGTCTCTATAAAGCGATGGAAAGCTCTCCGAAATGTAGTTTTCGGAATACCTAAAGTTCCAGATACATAAACTTAACTTATTCTGTCTTGTAGCAATGCAATAATTCGAGCAACATCTACTGTAGATTACACCATATGTTTATTCTATTTACCATATTCTATTATTCACTTAGTCGAAATCCACGTTTGAAAAGCTAAATTACTATTTAATTAAATGTTTTTAACTTGAGAATATAAACAGCCACATGATCGCAATAAATATTTAAATTGACACGCAATATGAGGCAGTGCATAACACTTCCAATGAAATTTTATTTTCATAAATTTATAGGATGGCCATTTTTTTGCCGGTCAGTGTATTAATTCTAAAATATTGAAGTACTACAAGTTTATTGGTTAACTTTTTTATTTCCAATTTTCATTGATCAACACTTGGGCACTGCAACGCATAAATCTCGTGTACAAAAGTCTTAAGATTTGGTTCAGCAGCTCATAACTACAAAGAAAAGTTTCTTACGAACAAAATCTACGAATTAAGGATCTCTGCAATTTGCTGATTGGTTGCAATATTTCAATTGCAAAATTGGTTAATCCATTATTCTAACAATTTTTAAAAAAGTACTGCAAAAGTCCTTCTGCTACGACTCTACTGGAGAATAATCCAATATATATATATATATATATATATATATATATATATATATATATATATTGGTATAGACAGAATATATATCTGTTTCCTGATGTTGAAGGACGGTATATCGCAAATTTAATTATAAGAAGTTTAAACGGAGGTAAGTGTAGCACCGAATATTTAGTTTCTGTTAAGGATGTGCCAAAAACGAAGAATGTAACATTTTTTGCCTCAACCGATACCAACTAAAAAAAATTGGTATTGTTAAGTGATGCTGCACCATATCAAGCGGACCAAAATTAAGAAACATTTTTTCCAAAAATACACGTTACCTGTTTACCACATGCTTTAAATAGAATAGCAGAATCTGTAAGGACAGAGTTTCCAATGGTCAGTACTCTTGTATCAAATATATAAAAAAATATTTTTAAAAGCTCCTCTGCGAGTACTGGCGTATAAAGATCGTTTTTACCTATTGTACCTTTACCACCTGAACCAGTGATAACTAGATGGAGAACATGATTAGATTCAGTAAATTTCATAACCGATAATTTTGAGGGTATTAGAGACGTCATTTGTAGGTTCGATATAGATAGCTCAGGTGCTATAAAAAATGTGTAAACTTTTTGAAAAAACCTTTATTAAAAAGTAATTTGGCACATATCCAAACCAATTTTGTAAATATTGCTGAATAAATGACTAGATTAGAAAAGCAAAACATTTCATTAGACCACAGTATTAAAATTATCAATTCATTAAATGAAAAAATTAAACACCTTGGGGAAACCAACAAAGTTTATCAAAAATTCTACACAGTGATAAAAAAATTAGGGATATCAAAAAATAATTCAAATAAATAATATTATTAAGATGGGGAATTGTGAAGACAATTTAATTTTACAGCTTGCTCCTTTAACTTCATGTGAAATAGAAAGAAGTTTTTCAGCATATAAGCAATTATTATCAGATAGACAAATCAGTTTTTCTTTAGAAAATTTAGAAAAACATGTAATGATGATGAGGATGAATGATGGTGAATCAAAGAATAAATGAATATAATGATGTAGATAATAAAAATTTCAATAAATATTTTTTGACTAGCATAAAATAAATTTAATATCTTTAATACAAGTATTTCTGCGTTTTTTATTTATATGCAATAAATGCATATTTTAGTGCATATTTCAACTGTTTTTTGTGCATGCATATTTTAGGGTTCTTTAAGTGCATGTTTGCCGAGCTCTACTAATAATAATTAGGTGGATGCGATTTTGTCTAAAAAAAAATAAACTGTTTAGCCTAAACTGTTGTATATAAATTTTAATTGGATCTACAGTGAATAATGTAAATTACGAATTTTTAAATTTGATTTTTTCTTAAATGTCCGATAAATGTGTGGTGTATCCTAAACTTGTATTAAAATATATAAGAAGATAATGGTACTTACCGACGTTTATTTTGACTGTAAGGTAGACACAATCGATAGCTATTTACTAAAACTTAAACGACAATATTTCGCGCAAAATCAAGTTATGTAAATGTATATAATAAGGAAGTTTCCACTAATATAAAATCAAACAAGTTACTCTTAAATATCAATTAGCTCTTGTAACTTTTTTTTGTCGCTCGTTATTTATTGTTGTTTATCAATGGGAGTCCTCTAAAATTAAAGATATATATGATTGATATTTAATTTATTTTCCATCCAACAAATGCTGAGTAGTGGTAATTATGTAAAGAAGTGGTACTTTTAAATAAAAGGAAGTCAATAATTTTTTTAACATAATTTAGTAGCAATTAGAGAATTAGAGTTTTAAAAGGGTGGTTCAAGGTTGTGGTGTCTGAGGACTATGGATTATGGCTAGCGCTTTTTTAAATCAACACAATTTCGGAGCACGTCATTTTATATACAAACTATTTTTCATTCAGGAATTTTATTCCAAAACGATCAGAAGGGGTCACAGAATTAATTTAAATTAGATTTATATATTTATTTTACTGAATTAATAAACTAAAAGTACTGTAATGTGCAGGATTATTTCAACTATATTTCTTAATAGTCCAGGCGAGACTTGTTTTAAATTGGTCTTTTTTTCATAGGACTCTATTTTCTGCAGAGATCACTTCAAGATGTACCTTGTATCAATAAATACGATATGTGCCAGTCGCAAATCCTGGGATCTAACCAGCTAATTAATAATTTAACCCTCGGTTAGTATATACCATATCCCAGGTATATATATATATATATATATATATATATATATATATATATATATATATATATATATATATATATATATATATATATATATATAAGCGAGGTTCCTACAGCCTCTGCCGCCTCTCGCATTTCGACCGCCATCGTTTTCTGTCCATCCATTCGTCTTATTTGATGACTCTATCTCTCATTATGTGTCGTACATTCCCAGGCAACCGAAAGCCTTCCCCTTCTTCGTTTTTGTTGTGTTATGTAATTTAAAGCTTTCTTTGGCCATCTATCTTCATTCATTCGCTTCACGTGACCATACCACACTAGTTGTCTCGTTTCAATTCTGTCTACACTGGAATATACAGTATTTCTCCTCCTTTCACCTCCTCCTTCTACCACCATACCCCAGGTACTCTTTTTATTTCTATAAAATCGAAAGTAGATGAAATAGCGCCTCTGTGATACCCCGGTACACTACTGTTGTAACTTTTAGTTTTTTTGTGCTTTAGAGGTAAATTCACATGATATTTTTGATATTTTTTCGAGATGTAGTATGATTTTTATTTTTCCTTCAGCGGTACTGAATTATAGAATAATTATGTCTTATGAACAAGAGCAGGAAAGGTTAAAGCGTTTAAATAGGCGGAGTTTGGCTGTATTTCTGTCAATGATAAGTCGTTCAATGATAGTCAATCTGAGGAAAAACAAACTGCATTAGAAAGTCAAGAGGCAATCATATTGGAAGAAGGAGAGACAGCACAAAAAAGGGAGGATTCTGAAAAAGTGGAGGCTGAAGAAGAAAGTGATTTTTCAATTGTCTAAGAAAGCGGTAGTGAGAATAATAGTAAGAGATACTTTTTAGATAAAGACAAATCAAAGTGGTTCAAGCTTTCAAAAAACAAACAAGTAAAATCAATTTCGGACAATCTAATTATATATTTACCTAGGAATAGCACGAGAAAAGCAGAGCGTTATTGATTGTTGGTTGTTATTCCTTACAGAAGAAATGTTAGATGCCATTGTTGACTATACAAATGTAAAATTAGCGACGAAAGCCGCACGGTACGATGCACGACATCAGTACTTAGTCAAAAGGACTGACAAAATAGAAATCAAAGTTGTTATAGGCGTGCTTTATGTGACGGGAGTTTACCCGTCAAACCGACAAAATATTTCAGATCTTTGGAATACTGATGGCAGCGGAATTGATCTCATTTGAAAATATGGCTTAAAAGTATTTGCGCTAGTGAATACCAAAACTTACTACTGTCTAAACATGGAAGTTTACGTCGGCACACAGCCACAAGGACCTTTCCGATAAAGTAACAATCCGCAAAACATAGTTGAACGTGTGATTGGGCCAGTTTCTGGTACTAAACGTAATATTACTTTTGATTACTGGTTTACCAGTTATCTGCTCATGATCAATCTACTTTAGACTCGTCATCTGAGATCGGTTGGGACAGTTAGAAAGAACAAGAGACAAATTCCAACAGCACTTCTGAATACACGAGGAAGAGAAATTCGTAGTTCAAAATTTGCATTCAAAGAAAATATAACGGTTGTCTCATATGTGCCAAAAAAGTCCAATCATGATGATGCTATAATTGAAGAAACTAGTGAAAAGAAATTACATGAAATTATCGACTTTAACAATTCTACCAAAGGCGGTTTAGACACATTGGGTGAGCTATCTGCTAATTACAGCGTATCAAGAAAAGTCGTCGTTGCACTTGGACACTATTTTTTTTTTTTCGTTTTTGAATACAGCTGGAGTGAATACTTAAGTTATATATAAAATAAATACAAACAAACGACAAATTAAAAAGACGAATTTTTTTAAAGAACTGGGTGTGCAGCTAACTCCTGAGTTTTGAAACCAAAGAAGGCAAAAGCCTTCCTTGCGTCGACCACTACATGATAATCAGCAATCAGAGGTACATCAGTTGGGAGCTAAGCGACGCGACGTAGGACAAGCAGTAGATGTTCTGTTTGTCCAAGAAATAGGGATAGGAATACTTTTGACATATGCATGCGATGTGATACTCCAATTTGTTTGTAAACACGCAATAATGACGTGTTTAAATTGAGACAATTTTGAGGATTCGTAACTTTTTTATTTTTTAATGTATTTTAGCGAACATTTTTCCCTTTAATTTCCAGAATCTTAGGCTATAAGTTTATTTAGAGTTGTGTGACCAATAAAATTTCACTCGTGTTTTTTGACCAGTATAATTGCAATATGTTGGATAAATGATATTTATCATTTAAATATAAGATTTTTACAGTACCATATTTAATTTATTTGAATAAAAAATAAGTAAAAAACTAAATTTAATCATTTTAAACGATTAAATTTAAAAATGTTAACTTCCTGCGTTAGTTTAGTTCAGCATGTGACATACCCCAGAACACCTCTCGTAATAAGTTACCAAGGCACACTTACGCAAGGTTAATGCTTATTGTTTAAAAAAACAAAAAGTGCAAAATAGAATTTTTTCGTTGATTTTTTTCGACCACTTAACACAACTTGTTGTTCGCTGGGCTCTAAATAAACATTCTAGATAATCGATTTTTTTTTTAATACAAAGAAAGACTAAGAATTTCAAACGCCTTTTGACAAATTGAAGGCCTAGGGAATTTTTAAAAATATAAACAATTTTTTGACTTTTAAATAAATAAAATATCTTCGAAAATTTTACACACATCAATTTCAAAAGATGCTTCTTTAAATAAAAAAAGTGTTGTCAAGTACTTTGATATGAACATTTTTGGATGATGCTTCTCGTAGGCATAAAATGACAAAAAAATTGTTTTCGCGTGAAAAGTTGCTCGAAGTGTATAAGAGATGCTACCTCTCGAGGGGTAAACTCGAGGGGTAAAAAATCGAGTTACCAAGAACCTGTACGCCGTAGATAAAAATATTTTAAATAACAAATGTAGCTGAGATGATTTTGAATAAAAATGTTAATTAACACTTTTTCTGTAAAGTAAACCGTTCTTTTATATACAACGCCAACAGCGACCGGCAATTTTGAATCGCCAAACGATCGCATGTCACGAGAAATTCCTTCAAGAAAATGGTTTTGAGTGTAATTTGTAGCAGAAGATGGGTAGTTTTTAACAACGTACTAGTGTAAATAAAAAAGACCAGTTTTAAATGATTTAGTTAGTTTATTTGCAGCAAAACTTAGTTTATTTGCGGCAAAATACAAAAATTACGTACAAAAGCTACACTTTTACCTTTAAGATGCATCTTGATTATTGTCGATATTACACTCGGGTCAAACGATATCGAATTTTTACCGTCGAGCTAATACAAATTTTATTGAACATTTTCGATCACTTCAAGCGTCGTTTCTTTGATATTATTTGATTGTATATTTCGTCTATTTAAAGTTGTAGCTTCTTCTTTAAAGACGGCTAATACCCTTTTCTTACTTTTAGAGAATGTTCAGGTTTCTGAATCGTACGTAAGTACCGGTCTTACTAAGGTTTGGTATATTTGGCAGTTTGTTTTTTTGCGGCAGTATCTGATATCGGTTGCCTAAATAAGCCATGGTAATATGCCTTGACAATGAATATACGCATCTTAACTTCCTCTCAACTTTGTCATCCTGCTTCTGACCACGTAGTAAGCAGAATCAGCATTTGATTTTCTTCTTGTGCAGACGTTTATTATATTCGATTGGTGTTTTGAGTCTACAATATCATGATCTATCATATTTTCTGTAAGGTCGTCTGGTGATTTCCAAGTGCCTTTATGTATATTTTTACTAGCAAAGTATGTGCCGGCAATTACCATGTTAAGTGATCTCGCAAGGTGTATTAACCCATTGCCATTCTCATTTTATGACTTATGGAGACTGCGCTTTCCTATTGTGGGTTAGAACTGTTATATTTTTCTTCTGTCGGGACATGTGCATGAATTAGACTATAGATAAAAAAAACGTCCTTTAAGCCTTAAAATACTTTTTCTGGGACTAATGGCTCGGAAATCTCGTATTATATGTTTTGCTATTGTCTGATTTGAATCAGTTATGACAGTTATGTCTATTTTATATCTATTACTTCTTTTGGGAGATTTTAGACAGCTTCTAATATATACAAGGTTCAAATATTCTATGTCGCAACCCTTAAATAGTTTTGAACATTCACAATTCATCCTTTTTTTGGGAAGAGATATTTAACTATTCTTCGCAGGGTAATTTCTCCCGCCCTCTTCAGCCCTGACCATATTTCCCACTGGGGTTAGCTACCACAATCTTCCACAGAATTGTTCAGCTTTTGTAAATTTCGTCAAGTGAAGTCACAAAAGCTGTTAGCCGTTAGCCCAAAATTTTCTTTTAAATAAATTTAAAAATATAAAAACAGCGGACTAAGAACTATGTGGTATATTAATTTTTTTTAACATAAAAATAAATGTATGGCCTTAAATTAATAACGATTAATGCTTTCTCATTGTTCTTCGATCGGGAACTTCAAGTTCGTAGGCCGGTTCCTTTCCTTCTGAGACCCAAATACTACCATGATCTCCTTTAGTAATGGCAGTCACTATCCCCTGTCCAACACATTCTGGCCTAAAAAGTGATTATACAATGTTAATATTTATAGTATACATATAAACAAAAATTTATAAGAAATTAAAAATAAATGATTGGAAACTTGTTGTTTTTTTAATTTTTTCAACCGTATTTAATATTATACATTATTCTACCTCTTTTAATCAAAAGATATTGTTTTCTATCAAAAGATTAGATTAAAGAAAACAAGATACAGAGCACCTCAAAAAATAAAGTAAGGGAACCTGTAATTGGAAGTAATCTTGATGAAACTTGGGACCACTCACTAGAGATAAGAATACGCCTGGAAAAGGCACGTACAATGTTCTACAAAATGCAAAAAGTTCTATGCAACCACCAGCTGGGCATCTCATTGAGAACTAGAATACTTAAGTGCTATGTTTTCTCCACCTTGTTCTATGGTGTTGAAGCCTGGACAATTACAGAAGCAACACAAAAAGAATCCAAGCATTCGAATTCTGGTGTTACCGTAAAATGCTCAGAATATCCTACATGAGCCATACGACAAATGCGGAAGTCTTGCGGAGAATGAATAAGAAAAGAAAGCTTATGCTTATAATAAAAGAACGGAAAACACAATATTTTGGTCACATCATAAGAAATCAAAAGTATGACCTGCTCCAACTTATAATCGAAGGCAAAGTCAATAGCAAAAGAGGACCAGGAAGAAGACGCAACTCTTGGCTTAAAAATCTACGGCAATGGACGAACATGACCTCCATAGAACTATTCAGGGCTGCTACGAATAAGATTAAATGGGCAAATGTAATGGCCAACGTCCTTAAGGATAAGGCACCGTAGGAAGAACCTGTAATTGGACCAAATGATATTCCTGAGGAAGTCTTGACATATTTTTTAGAGACAGGTTGGCTAACTGAATAAAAGGGAAAAAAAGCAAAAACTAATTTTAAATTGACTAACCCACATATTGGCCAGGTGAGCTGATGACATGCAATACATATTAAGAAAATTAAAAGAGAGTAAGGAATAATGTCCTGCAAAGGTTGTTTCTGGTTAAGCTATAATGAAACCATGATTTATTATCATTATAGGTAGATGGAGTTTAAATATCTAGATATCACATAATTTAGCTACGCAAAGCTCGAAACAGGAGTAGAAGATCAACTGAATAGAGCAAACAGAGCCACAAGTTGCCTGAATGAAACAATATGGAGAAATAAAAATGTCGGGAAATAAATGAAAGGCAAAATTTACATAAGAGGCATCAGACCAATAATGACACAAGCGGCAGAAACACGACCTGACACAGAGAGGACAAAAAAGATGTTAGAAACAGCAGAGATGAAAATACTTGATAATATGATTGATACTATGGGACAGAACTAGAAGTACAGATATACGATGTACATGCAAGGTGGAATGACATGAAATAAAGTAGTAAAGATGGCAGGAGACGGTTCCCCAATAGGAAGAAGATCAGTAGGACGACCGCGTAAACGATAGAACCACAAGTTACTGGAGACACGTTGAAAAACAGACAGAGTTGTGTCAACATAAAAAGAAGAGGAAGAGGAAGGAAGAAGATAGGTAGATGAACTACAGAAGTATACGGCTGAAGTAGTTTATTAAAATTTTTTGTTTTCATTTATTGATTACTATTTGAAATGCAACCACAACCACAACAATTTATTATTATATAATAATAATAAATTATGTATAAGAGAAGGGTCAAAAAATGAAACTAAATCACTAAAACACCATTAGTATTTTGAAATTTATCTATATCTGATTTACCCTTGCTGTGGATGTTGTTCTATTCTCCGATAGTTTGGTAAAAGAGTTTTAGAAACAAACTTCAATAAAATCAAGCGAATAGAGAAGAGTGGTTTAATTGGAAACAGAAGTAGTTGATAAATATACTTGGAACAAGAGATAATTATTGATAGAGACAATCATCATAGTCCTTAAAAAGTGAAACAAATTAAGAAAAAACTAAACTAAAAGACTTAGTTATTTGAGATTTGCAGATAACATCGTCCTTATTGGCGACGTGCAAGTACTTGGAGGGGATACGAGAAACGATCGTGCGCGAGTAGTGGAGAAATCTTGCATTTTTTACTGTACATTTCATAGATTATAGATTTCATCAATTCGTATTGTCAATTGTCATAGTTCATATTCGTTTTGTTTATTTACACCTTCTGTCACTGAAGAAAATGAGATTTAGGAAATGCTGTGTTATAAATTGTAAAAATACAACAAAAAATTGTCAATTTAAGTCTTATTCGTTTCCAACTTCGAAGCACAAAGCTAGTACAAAGAGAAAAGTGGATTTATATCATAAAAAAGCATAAGTAACATAACCTAAATTATACATTATTCTTGCGCCCGATTTTAAAGTCAGTTTGAATTAAATAATAAATAAAAGTTCTCTTTTAAGTGTAAATTTTAGTTTCATAACACTCACTTAGAGTTCTTTTTAACCCAAAAATCAAGTTTAATGTTTGAATTTTATATTTTTGAAGTTTACAAAAATGCATCAAGTTCAAGTTTTTCTGAAGATGCATTAAGATATATTCGCTGTCCAAAAGTTTACAGGGAAAGAATTAATTGTTCAAACCAATATGATGATATCATGGGCTTAACTTGCTAATTTATGCATTAGAATTATTTATGGTAATTTATTTTTCTTAATTTTTCCACTCCACATAATTCTTCCATTCTTTTTTGACATTTGCCACTACTAAAGCTTTTCCCTTTGACTCGTGCTTGGTTGAAAAGTTATTTGGTGATTTACTTTCTCAAATCCAGTTTTTATTATTGCATCCATATTAACAGTAATGCTGTAATTCAATAATATATTTATTTGTATTTACGCTACATCAACGTTTACCTTTTAATAACATACCGACATAACCTCAATCTTACTTTTTCTTCTTATTCTTTTTTGGGACCACGTCCTTGACAGTTATCCGGTAACCTCGATATAACATGAAAGCGCAGTAAATTTGGCTGATTTACGACACCAGGTGTCGCTGTTCCGAACTTGCACGGTCCCAATAGCCGATCGTATGGATGATGAAATAATAATGTTTGAAAAATTATATTATCACGCTTCCTTGGAGATTATATTTATCACTCTTCCATTGATTATAAACCACCCATGGGTGGTTAATGATCAATGCTTAAAGGTCGGACTAAAGATTAATATAAACAAGACACAAATATTGACGTATCTGGTGTTAAATCAAAATATTGCTGTTAATGGTAGGTATATTGTGCTGACTACGAATTGCAATATCTGGGACACGTTATGAGAAATCAGCACCGTTACTCCCTGCTACAGTCTATATTGCAAGGTAAAGTCAAAGGTAAGGGAGGACTCGGTAGAAGAAGAATATCATGGCTGCGGAATTTAAGAACATGGTTTAAGAAAACCTCAACGGAGCTGTTTCGAGCCGCAGCGAGCAAGGTTATGATTACCAATATGATTTCCAACATCCGAAGCGGATAGGAACCAGAAGAAGAAGAACATCCTATAAGTATCTAGGACATGAAACTTGGTTGGGCAGAGATAACCAGACATGTGAGCTCCCACCTCGCATAGGATTAGTCTGGGCAGCGTTTGGTAAATTAAACTATGTATTTAAATCGGATTTACCCATATACCTCAAAAGTAAAATCTTTGACCAATGTGTGTTACGTATACTCACTTATAGAGCGGAAACATTACCACTAACAAAATTCGCGTGACTCAGATGGCTATGGAGCGCCAAATGATGGGTGTCTCTCTGAGAGACCGAATCGCTATTGAAAAAATCGCGTCTTTAAAATGGAATTGGGCAGGAAACGTCGCCTGATTATCAGACAACCAATGGACAAAACGTATTTTAGAGTGGAGACCAAGGCAAGAAGCAATACGAAGCAGAGGACGTCCACCAAATAGATGAACTGACGACCTAAAGCGTGTTAGCAATAGCTGCATGCAAGCCACACAAGACAGAGACAGATGGAAAGAGCTGAGGGAGACCTATGTTTAGCAGTGAACGCATACAGGGTGATGATGATGATGATTATGGGGTAACATATTATGGGCACGTTGTTTCAAGAATTAAATTAAAAAAAGTTACCGGTGTATTATCGTCAAAGGCTCACAAAGCAAGAGAACCAAAGTTGTTAAACAAACTTGCCCGCTTCAAAGTAATAAAAAATTCACATGACATTGACTTACTTTAACATGGTTGTATAACCCATATATTATTGTAATTAAATATCAACATGTCAATACCAGATGAGAACACAATTTTTCGTTACAAAGGATTCATGAAAATAATTCTAAAAGTTTTTTAAATCTCTACATTAAGATAATGTTAATAGCTTATGCAGGAGGAGGCACTAGCGACATTTTGTAAACTACATTTTGACTTACGTTTGTTGGGGCAATGATGCTAATCCTTCAGTTAACATTTTTCCCAAATTTGGAAAACCTGGTAAACAAAACCCTGAAGATTCGGCCACTAGTGTTGTATCAGTTATTCCGGGGCACATAGTTACAAATTTGATACCTACAAATAAAAAAATATTTTAAATACTTTACATCTTCTTTTTAAATTTCTGTTGATTTATTTTCTCACTTAAAAACTTTATAAAAGACTACGTATTCAATACAAAACTGTGGTACAGATATTAATCAGCGAGAAAACTAGAATATTCTGTAAAAAGAGATGCAGCAAAACCAAAACTTCTATAAAAAAAAAGTAGAAAGAACTTCTATCAAATAAAAAAATTCTGATAGAATATTTCATTTTGAGAGCCATAAGATAACAGAGAGAAGAGAAAAAACAAAAGACTGCTTTTGAATTTTGGGGGTCAAGATAAGCCTAAGTAAATCTTACGCTGTGAGTCCAGCAGCACGTTTTATTTATAGTGGGGCATAGGGAGAGAAAAAACGAAGATTCTGTCATCTTTCGCTAGATAAACCAGGTAAACCTCCTAATGAAGTGACATCCTATTGACTAATATCACTCCTTTCGGTGATGTCAGAACTATTTGAAAAACTGTTAAAAAGATTAAAACCAACAAAAGAAAGAAAAACTTGTATACCGAATCATCAATTTGGTTTCAGAAATAAACATTTCATTATAAATCAAGTTCATTCTTCTTCTTCTTCAGCCTTCAGCCGTAAGTTATCCAACTTTGGACATAGGTCTCCCCTAATTAATCCAGTGTTTTCTATTTTGCGCCATTTGCTTCCAGTTGTTTACAGTTGAGTTTTCCAGTTGTCCATAGTTCAGTTAATAGAATAACGAATATAATAGAAAAAACATTAGAAAAAAAGAAAGTCTGCCCTACAATCTTCTTGGACGTAGCTCAGGCGTTTGATAAAGTCTGGCATGAGGGTTTAAACTATAAACTAAGAACGTTTATGCTTTAACAGTATTTCTAAGAAGCATACATTGCTAATAGATATTTCAGAATAAAAGAAGTGTACACCGATATCAGGGAAATTAAAGCTGACGTGTCACAAGAGAGTGTATTAGGCCCGGTCCTGTACCTATATACGAGTGACGTTTCAGAGCTACAACAAAACACTGTTGCCACCTTCGCCGAATAACAGCCATACTAGCGATGGGAGACACTAGTGAAGAAGCGACTAAGTTGCAACTATCAGTAAATACAATACATAGCTGGACCAGAAAATGGCAAATAAAATTAAATGAGACTAAATCTGCACACATTAACTTTACAAATAAAAAAAAAATAAAAAATTGCCTTATGCAACATCAGCAAAGTACTTGGGCATCACTATAAAAGCAAGTCTGCGCTGTAAAGTCCATGAAAAAAGAAAAGAGGAAAGCAAATTGTATTGGCTGATTGGAAAAAATTTAATATTATCTATTCATCATAAATTATCCATTTACAGGCAAGTACTGAGACCAGCATGGGTATATGGGTACCAAAATTAGTAATCTACATATTATCCAAAGATTTCAAAACAAAGTACTGTGGAACATTGTTGATGCTTCTTAGTATATCTGTAATAGCAACCATGGCAATCTGGCCTCTTGACAACGCTGTACTAAAGGGAAGACTAATAAGGACAAAACCATTGGAGAGTGTAAATGTACATGTACAGTACATGAACAGTTTAGTATAAAAAGCAGAGTATAGTGTTGTGATGTTATTGCATATTAGTTGTAGTGCATTAGTTGATAGATAAAATACGAGTAAGCCATAGAGTAAACCCTTAGATTTAAGTGTTTGCTGTTTATTAAGTTAGGTCAAGAAATAGCTGATAATTGGTCATTTGTGACCAGATAGCCAGATAGCAGTATGCAAACACAGTACAGGTGTTATACAAAACAAATATGTGTACAAATTTTTTCAGTTGTACATAATGTTTGGCAATAAAAAAGAAATGTTTTTTTATGTAATAAAGTGAACAAATGGGTGGGGTACTATACAGAGTGGCCCAAAAGTCTGGAAACGGCTAACTATCTCGTAAATTACTAGACATAATTATACAAAATTTGAGATACGCCTATTTTGGGATACAAAGATTCCATATTTGGTATTTGCAATGTTGCCAGATTTTCAGTTTCTCTTATATTACTAGTAACTTTGGTTTTTCAAATGCATCACCCTGTATATTCAGTCATTACTGGAATCTCCTATTAAATACGAGTTCAACCATATGTAACACTTATGATTTTATGTAGTCTGGAAGATCTTAAATACATAAAACACAAGTCTGGCAACGCCTAAATTGTTTCAATACATTTTTTAATACTAAATATTTTCAAATATATTAAAACGTAACAATTGATAGTTTAGAATATTTTTGAACATAATGGTTACGTTATTAAGTGTTCAAAATGGGCTCCATTTATGAGTTGACAGCAATCTAATCGATGGTAGAATGCGTCTACCACATTTCTCCATGATTGTCTAGAAATTATTTGAGATTCATCGATAATTAATTGCCTTAGCTATGCAAGACTTGTTGGTTAAGTTTTGTAAACTGAATTTTTCAAGTATCTCTAATAAAAGTAATCTTTAGGATTGAGATCGGGTGAACGTGGAGGCTATTCAATTCTACCTTGTCTACCAATTTATCGTCCGAGGAATATCTCATCTAAATAACGCCGAACATTTACACCAACTATCTGACGTTAAATTTCTTTCGATAAAAATGGCCCAATTAAATAAGTACCTACTATAACTGACCATATATTTAATTTTTGTGATCTTTGAGTATGGTTTTCATGCATTCAGTGTGAATTTCACACGAGTTCAGCTATTCAATACGAGTTCAACCATATGTTCACTTGATTTTATGTAGCCTGAAAGATCTTAAATACATAAAACAGTGCAAAATATGTAGATTTTAATAAATTTAAATATTTATATGGAGAATGCTGGGATTTTGACATTTGTTCACCATTTAAATTATGAACTAAAATTGACAGTAGTTGTGGTTCAAAAAGTTCTGCAATTTAAATTGCTTCTCTAAAATGCCGTTCTCTAAACCGTTCTCCTTTTCATAAGACGACGGTACAAAAAACTGTAAGATAGATGTAAGAATCATACAAAATTAGCTAATTGCAAGAATTAAGTGAAGATGACTTTGGTCGTAGATTAGAGTTTACTGAAGTAATGATGGATAAAATTGAAAATGATAAAAATTTCGTTAACAGAATATGTTTTTCCGATGAAGCAACTTTTACACTTGTGGAAGTGTAAATCGACACAATTTAAGGTACTGGTGTGACGTAAATTCACACTGAAGACTGAATGCGTGAAAACCATACTCCACGACCACAAAAATTAAATGTATGGTCAGATATAGTAGTTACTTATTCAATTGGGTCATTTTTTGTCGAAAGAAATTTAACGTCAAATAGTTGGTGTAAATGTTCGGCGATATTTAGATGAGATATTTCCTGGACGATAATATGGTAGACAAGATAGAATTGAATGGCCTCCACGTTCACCTGATTTCAATCCTAAAGATTATTTTATAAGGGATATTTGAGAAATTCAGTTTACAAAACTTAACCAGCAAGTCTGGCAGAGCTAAGGCAACGAATTATCAATGAATCTCGAATAATTTCTAGATAATCATGAAGAAATGTGGTAGACGCCTTCTACCATCAATTAGGGTGCTGTCAACTCACAAATTGAGCACATTTTGAACACTTAATAACGTAACTACTATGTTAAAAAAATGTTCAATCAATTGTTACGTTTTAATGTATTTAAAAATAGTTAGTATTAAAAAATTTATTGAAACAATTTAGGCGTTGCCAGACCTCGGTTTTATGTATTTATGACCTTCCAAATTACATAAAATCGTAAGTGTTACATATGGTTGAACTCGTATTGAATAGGAGATTCCAATAATGACTGAATATACAGGGTGATGTATTTGAAAAAGCAAAGTTACTAATAATATAAGAAAAAAGGCAAATCTGGCAACATTGCAAATATCAAATATGGAATCTCCGTATCCCAAAATAGGTCTACCTCAAATTTTGTACAATTATGATTAGCATTTTACGAGATAATTAGCCGTTTCCAGACTTTTGGGCCACTCTATATATATATATATATATAATATATATATATATATATATATATATATATATATATATATATATATATATATATATAAGAAATACTGGATATTATTGACTGTTGATATAAACAAACAAAACAGTTTATTAGGGTTGCAGTCAGAATATTGGCCGGGATGTTAAATAAAAAACACTCTTTTGACTTTTTGTCGAGCTTTCGGAATGATTTTATTCCTTTTTCAAGACACTGTAAATATTTACATAATTGTCTTTTACAGTGTCTTGAAAAAGGAATAAAGTCATTCCGAAAGCTCGACAAAAAGTCAAAAGAGTGTTTTTTATTTAACATCCCGGCCAATATTCTGACTGCAACCCTAATAAACTGTTTTGTTTGTATATATATATATATATATATATATATATATATATATATATAAATAAAATATATATATATATATATATATAAACAAACAACAAAGTTTATTGGGGCTGCAGTCAGAAGTTTGGCCGGGATGTTACAGAAACACTCTTTTGACTTTTGGTCTAGCTTTCGGAATTGTTTAATTCCTTTATCAAGACATTGTAATTAGAAAAATGTGTAAATATTTACAATATATCACAAAATGTCAGTGTACTTACTTACTTACTTACATTTTGTGATATATTGTAAATATTTACACATTTTTCTAATTACAGTGTCTTGATAAAGGAATAAAACAATTCCGAAAGCTAGACCAAAAGTCAAAAGAGTGTTTCTATAACATCCCGGCCAAACTTCTGACTGCAGCCCCAATAAACTTTGTTGTTTGTTTAAATTGACAGTCACGAATATCCAGTATTCATTATATATATATATATATATATATATATATATATATATATATATATATATATGTGTGTATAATTTAATTTAGAACATATATTATTGTTATTATTGACTGTATGAATAGCCAAATTTGAACATTATTGTATTAGCTTTATTTTGTTGCTGAACAGTTTCTTTACTCTGCATATTTTTATTACCTGTCAAATCGTAATGATATTTTGTTCCAAACGATTTATCCAAGCCAATAACAAAGTGTTTAGTGGCAACGTATACCGGACAAGCTTCCATTTCTTGAAAACCATAAATTGATGCAATATTCACTATGACTCCTCCTTTGTGTCCATTGTTCTTTCCCATATATTTGATTCCCAATAATGTTCCTTGAACAACAGCATTCTGAAAAATAGTTATATTCAGATTATTATATGTATATGTACTTATTTACATTTATTTTGCATATAACTAAATCTACATACACAGTTTGTTTTTGCACAATCACTCAAGTATATGTACACTTAAATATCGGGTACACAATATGTACTTACACAATTAACAGCGATTTCGAGCTCCCATTGAGAATCTTTGAGAACACCAGCATTGTTGATTACTATGTCAACTCCTCCAAATGTCGAAAGTGCTAGTTTAAAGGCAGCTGCAACAAAAAGTAATTAAGTAAAAATGATAAAATACTAGTTCAAAAAAGTTGAAAATAAGAAAGAGGTTCATGCAAAAAAGATGGTACAATAGGCGGTAGACTAGTGAGAAGCTTCATACTATGTTTTCTGTAGATTTCAAATTAAATAAAGTAACTTTATTATTTATTTATTATTCATATTTTAAACAAATTTTATTTTATTAAAGTAATTCAATAAGTTACTGTCCATAGCTATTTAAACTCTTATACTAATCGATAGGTAAATCGCAGATGACAACCACACAGAAAAAGAGGTCTTAGCTAGGGTAGCTCGGGTGATAGAGCAATATACTTCCTATTATCATTATGAAGATCTAGGCTACTAAAAAGAAAATTTGGAGCGTTGTTGGATGCTTTATGACATTTATGGGTCCGGTGAAATACCATAGGATTGGCTTCAATCAACCTTTATGCCAATCCCAAAAAAGAGAAGCGCTAATAATTGCGACCAATTTCGAATGATCGGCTTATTAAGTCAGGCCTTAAACTTATTTTTAAAGATAATTCACACAAGAATATACAACAGATGTGAAATAGACATTAGCCCCACACAGTTCGGTTTCAGCAAAAAGATGTCTTCCTATGCTTTACGGATTACCAGAAAGCATTCGATTGTGTTAATCATTCAGAGTAAGATTGCTCCAGGAACATTCGATAGATGAGAATGACCTTAAAATCTTAAAGAACCTTTTTATGAATCTGAAAGTAGGACTGGAATCTACATCATATTTCTCAATCGAAAAAGGTGTACGACAGGATTGTGTTCTGTCACCCTTCCTTTTTAATCTTTACTCTGAAATGATTTTCGATAGAGCCTTAAGTGGCACTGAAGATGGAATCAAAATCAATGGACAGACTATTAGTAATATTGTAGCATTTTATATTGAGATCCCCTCGTATATGTAAAATATTAAAATCCCCTTATATGTTTGATAAATCTAAGAATATTTCGTACGTATTAAAACCCAAATATCTTTTCAATTTTTTCTTAGATCGGCCAAGTTAAAATACATAAACCATTTTAGAGTTGTTTATTGTTTTAACTTTTTCGGCAATTTCTTTTAATGTTTTAATTCGAAGTAGTCTTATAATTTTTATACGTCGCCAAAGGATATCTACGTCGTTTCGTTGTGTTTTGCTATTTCAGCGTTTTGTTTATTCTCAAGTTATATGAACGAAATTTTAAATTCGTAATTCATACTTGGGTCTTCGTAGTATTAGGTATGGATCCTAATTCGTACTTAAGTCACCGGTAGAGTCAGGTGTGACCTAATAGATTCTTGCTTGGTTCGCTGTGTGGATCGCAAGTATGGATCCGCAAATTTGCCGTCAAATTTGTGTTCTTCTGTTTTGGCCCCTTTAGTGGAAATATGTTTCAGTAAAAAAAGTAATTTGTGTAGTATACCAGAATATGGTATAATTTTGAAGCAATATATAGGATGTCCCACCAGTTTGTTATCGTTTTCCTATTTGATCCAATTCTATCTACGTCAGATCTTCGTTCCAGTGTGGAAATGGTTTTCTTTTGTTCCAGTTGAGATTTTTTTCCTTGCATCTCCAATCCAGAGATAGTAGCAAGTTTTTCAAAGTTAAGTGATTATAATAAAAGATTAAGGTAACTTTTAATATTTTAATTTTTCCAAGTTATATGGACATTATTAATAATTGCTTTCATTAAAATAAAATTTGTAATAATTAAAGTTTTATATTATGTTGTCGTAGATAAAAATGTCATAATTTAATCTGTCTTAAGTTGTTATGTTGACATATGACATTTTACTTTAATCCATTGTTGTTATAAGACAATTTTAATTTGATTATTTTATATAAGAAATATTCCATATACATATGTAAGATTAAATTCAATAATATTTTTCATAAAAAGGATATCCATAAAATTTTGATAATCTAAATTGGCCATATTATAACCTAGAAACCATTTAAAATTTTTGTAGCAATCTCTTATGTAAATAAAGAACATGTAAGTTTTTATTAATTTGGATTATGTTGTATAATATATTATTGTATTTCTCCATGTTGTAACTCTTTGTGGTGACACAAAAATAAATGTTAAATTTTGTTTTCTAACATTTTGTTTATTTTTTTTAATTAACCTTTTTTTAAATTATATTTGAAAAAGATATGTTTTTGATGTTTTATAATTATTTCCCTAGTTACGACTAGTGGTTGTAATAGGTATAATTGGGCACCCCAAGTCGCGACATATATTAAATTCCTTGAGGTATTTCCGGTTTATTTTCATTTTGTTTGTCCCAAGAGATTTGTATAAGTACCCCTCTATTTCTTTTTTTTGTAGTTGCCCCAATCCAACACCCATATCTTCAACTTATCCACGACCAAGCTCTCCAACAACCAACTGAGTGCCGTACGCACTTATTTCGATCTATTTTGTTTGCCCAATCTTCTACCCCATGTTCTTACCCTGAGCTAAGCAAAATGTTCGTTACAATATTCGCTATGCTAATAATACAGTCATAATAGCTGATAGCTAAGAAGCGCTACAAAGTAGATAGAATAAACACTGAAGGAGAACGACTGGGTTGAAGATTATTATAGACCAGACAAAGAGAATGATGGTTCAGATGGAAAGACCCCAAGTTCAGATATCTCGGTAGTTGGATAACCGAGAATGAGAACCTTGCTAAGCAACAGCAGCCTTAACTTAACGCTTCGATATCGCTTTGTAAAATGTTACATTTACTCCATACTGCTATATGGTGTAGAAATCTGGACCATAAAGGCCAATGTGATGAACCTATTGGAGGCCTTTAAAATGTAGGTATTTAGAAGACCACTTAAAATTCTCTGGACCGATCACACAACAAATGTCGAAGTATTTAATCGAATGGACAGAGAACGATAATTGCTGCCAATAATAAAAAGAAGGAAAACTGCTTATGTGGGTCATATATTTCGAAATTCCAAGTACCAGTTCTTAAAGCTTATTATGGAATGGAAGATAGAAGAAAAACGGGGCATTGGAAGAAAGAAATACGCATGACTAAAAACATAAGGGACTGGACAAACCTTGATGAACATGCACTCTTTAGAGCCACACAACATTGAGAGGAGTCTGCCAGAATTGTCGCCAACATCCACTAATTGGATAGGGCACCATAAGAAGAAGTTGGATACTTCTGGTATACTGGAAGATCTGCGTTGATCATAAACTGTCAATTTTTGATGGTCCTGTATGAGGTAAGAATGCAGTTTATGTTTACGAAGGATTTTTGCCGCCAAAGATTGACTAATATCATGTTGACGTGAAATTTCACGAGTGCTGATGTGAGGATCTTTAGTAGTAGCTACCAGTACATCATAATCCTTTTCTTCATTTTTTTCTCATTTTTTTCATATACAACTGACCCAATGCGGAAACGTAAACGAAAACGATCCATTAATTTTTAAAAGCCCTTGCGTTTAAATTCCTTCATTCAGCCAATCGCTCGTGATATATTCTGGATGAAAGTAAGCAATTTTTTAAACTTTTTCCTAATACCCAGATCATTTTGAATGTATTTTCGAAATTTAAAGAAAACTAAAAATATTTGGAAAAGTAATGAGTTTCATAGTTTCTCATTTGGAAAGAGTATCATAAATACAGTGTTTCTAAAAAATAAAATATAGAATGATCCATTTAAAAAATTGAGAAAATCATAATTTTGTTTTGTAGTTCACCCTGTATACAAATTTTTGTTAACGGTTTCAATTAAACTTAATTTAAAAACTGCAATATATTGTTTAATTTATTATATAAACTGAATAATTGTTTATGAATTACTTCTTTATATACATAATATTGATTTCATAGGGATATTAAACCTAAAGCTAATATCTATGTAGTTTTTGTAATAAACTACATGAAACTACATGATACCACCAGAGAAATAAAGCGAGGTGTGAGACAGGGCGACACTCTTTCACCTAAATTATTTATAACTGTCCTCGAATACGCCTTTAAAATGCTAAAGTGGGAAAATAGAGGAATAAAATTACAGTGGGAAATGATCAGTCATCTGCGTTTTTCCAACGATATAGTACTTATTACCAAAGATCTGCGTGAAGCACAACAAATGCTACTATAATTAGAAAACGTATCTTCAACAGTAGGTCTAAAAATGAAGACCAAATTTATGACAAATTTGGTTCTCAGCAAACACCTAACCGTCCAAAAAAAAATTTACATCCTTTATTTATTGTAATTTGTTTCTAGAAATAAAAAAACAATAATCAATAAGTTGATCACGTAATTAACAAAGGGGAAATCCGTCCAGTGACAAAAATTCTGTAAGATAAATTTCTAATATATATATATATATATATATATATATATATATAATATATATATATATATATATATATATATATAAATATTTGAAATATAAATAACGCTTTACAAAATCATTTCCTAATATATTAAAAAATGGCAATAGTTAAAATAAACACACAAATTATAAGTTATAGGCATATATAGTATAAGTTGTAGCTATAAAATGATAGAGTATACGTTTATGTATGTAAAATATAGAAAGATCTAACTAAAGGATCACGGCGTTTTAGTCTTCCTCTCCTCGGTCGCTTAACTAGGTCTTGGGCAAGCGTATTTTGATGGTTCAGTAGTCTATTTTTGTAAGTGCCACTGAGTGAGACAACAGTGTCTTTAATATTTTGAAGAATTGGTAGAAGTGGTAGAATTGACAGAAAAGTACATATATCTAGGTCATGAAATCAGAATAAGCAAGGATAATCAGACCTGTAAATTTAAACGACGAATAACACTTGCTTGGGCGGCGTATTGTTCCCTAACAGACATCCCTGATAGCTATGAAACGGAAGACATTTGGCCAATACGTTTTTCCTATTATTACATACGGAGCGGAAACTGTCACTCGTACAAAAACAACAGCACTAAAAGTGCGAGTGGTGCAAAGGCGCATTGAAAGGTCAATTTTCGGCGTGGCAAAAAAAGACCAAATAAGGAACCAAGACCTAAGGATAAGAACAGGTATCACTGATGTCGAACGTATAGTCAAGCTGGACCAGAAAACTTTAACTGGCGCTCAAAAGAAGACAAACTCAGCAGAGCACGACCCCCTACACGCTGGATGGACGACACTAAACGAATATCCAAGATAGAACAACAAGACACAGAACCTTGAAGAGTGGCGACAAATGGTAGAGACCCATATCCAGCAGTGGACAGAGAAGAGCTTGCATGACCATGATGCAAGCATAATATTAAACTTAATCCGGGCTGAACCGCGTTGATTATCATTGCGCCGAATTTTCGAAATGTTCTCTGATGTCTTCCTTGGGGCTTTCGAGGTCTCACTCTCTTCCAAGCCCCTCAGAAATACTACACTGATTACTAATTAATACACTATTGGAAGTCCCGAACAAGATCCGAAATCAGCAAGGAATGTGTTTATAAAAATAAACACAATTCTCTGCAATAAAGACCTTAGATCAGAACTAAGAGTAAGAGCTCTGAAATATTGCTACCTCTCGATACTGTAATATGAATGGACTTGAAAGCTACACACTGAACAAGAACACATAGATAACATAAATCTACAGAAATGGACAAATAATACGAAATAATAAGCACAATAAAAATAAAAAATCTCGGACACGTAATGAAAGAACAGTCATATAAAATGCTGAGATTGGTAGTACAGGGGAAGATAAGAGAAGAAAGAAGTGTTGAAAGAAGAACACTGTCATAGTTGAGAAATTAAAGGGACTGGTTTAAATTCAACAGAAGTCTTCAAAGCCGCGCTAGATAAAGTAAAAATAGTGATGCTGATATCTAACCCCGATTGGGAGACGTAACATAAAGAAATATATGCACTTACCTTCTAATTGATCGGCTTTGGTTACATCTGTTTTTAAAAATACTGCTTTATTACTTCCGAAATGACTCGTTAGTTTAGTGATTGCCTCATTTCCACTCTTGCTGTCTATATCTGCTATAACGACACCCTAAAATAAATTAAAACAAATCATAGCTTATATGCAGTAAATGTTAAACATGGAAATAATTGTATTTGGCAAACAATAAAAAAATATATTTTGGAGGAAATAGAAACTAGAAAAGAGATTCCTTGAATAAATTTCGGAGACTGGGTCTCATTTCTAAGCAATTTAAAAATGGCAGAGGATAGGATAGTACGAATAGCACGAAATAAGTCACCAAATGATCAAAGAAGTATTGGCAGACCAAGAAAAAGATGGTGCGATAATTTAAACAATTTAGGAAGCTAATATTGAAGAACAAACAGGTTTGAAAGCCTACAAACAAGAAGAAAGAAGAAGAAGAAGACTTTTTGGACATAAATAAACGTTGTGTTATTTTAAGATTAACCACAGACTGATTACTCAAGGAATTTTATATAAAGTTTCAAAATAGATAGGTCAGGAAATACAAAACAGAAAAAGATAATGTATACACCGTTATTGATTAGTGCATGTCTTACCTTTAATCCATTTTTAAGTAATTCCACTGCGATACTAAAACCGATACCTGCAGCTCCACCCGTAAGGACTGCAATTTTTCCTTGAATGTCGAATACCATCTTCACTCTTGTAATAACAAATGCAGTATAAGTGTTGCATGGAAAATGAAGCGCCTAATATACTCGATGCGTAATTTAATAGGCCAATCCAATGCGCGCATTTTAAACAACAATACGACAAAGGGTAATTTTTCTTTTTATTTTATTCCGTAATTAGGGAAATAGTTAAATATTTTTTATGTGCAGACTATTTCGCTAATTCTTTAGCAAAATTTTGATTGTTTTTCTGTATTTTTCGATACTACAACTTTAGTTACATATGCAACAATTTGGCGTTTTGATTTCCATTCCGAAAATCGGTATTCTGAGATACAAAACCACACGTCAAATATGGTTAATATAATAACTATTTCACTAGACTATTTTTACCCAATAAAAGTTCAACGCCATGTTTCCTACTGACAAAACTTCTACCTGTCCGTTATTTCTCAGCGAAAAAATTATGACAGATCCGTCTCGAAGGTGTCCAAACGAAAAATCCAGATTTGGATGCCAGTCAAGTAAAGAAATAAAAAAATTGGTTTCGGAAAATGTACCAAATATACCATTAAACACGCAGAGGTCCAGAAGCTCTATTTGGACCCAATTTTTGGAGTTCCAACGGATGAGAAATTTTACGCTTAAAAGATTTAGTACCATAACGGAACTATCAAAAATTCTCGATTTAACAGGAAAAATGCAATGGCGAAGACTATGAAGAGTTGTCTTTAAAGGTAATATGAAATACTACAGAAAAAATGGTAGGACAAGAAAAATATTTTACAGGACGTCATAAAAATCGGCCCTTTTACAGATATATCTTTCAAATGTGCAAGACTGACCAGAGATACCGAGAAAGCAGAGGCAGCTTTAAAGTGTTTAAGAAAAAACAAAACTCAATTAAAAGCATTATATACCGAAGAACTTTTAAAAATCATCCCAAGCTACGACGAGCAAACCCCGATGGAACACAGAAAAAGCTTTTTCGCCTTTGCAAATTAGCGGTAATGAGGCCGCAAACTGCAAGATTCATTTTTACACAAGGAATTTGATGTTATGGGGGAATTTACGGGTCGAATTGAATACAACAGCATTTTTTTCAAAACAAATTAGGGCGGTACGAAAATTTTGGCAAGCAGCAAATTACTGGTAAGAAATTCATCAATCGAAAATGTATGCCAGTTAGATTATTTTTGAAACTATTGGAAAACAGGGGACCAAAAATTTTATCAATGACTCTTTCTTACCGTTCACCCCAACTGAAAGAACTGATCTTGGTTCAAAAACTGTCCACATGGAATCAAGACCTAAAATCTAAGTGGATAAAAGTGTCTGCTGAAAAAATTGGAATATACACAATAAAACATAAAATAACAAACCATTCTCATCGATCTTCACCTGTGTCAGCATTGTTCAAGCAAGGTGATTTTGAACAGAAGTTAATTAAATTAACGGGTCACTCAAATGCAGCTCTCGTATACCATATCTACAACTGGATTCCAGTCGCCACCAGAACTTGATCAAAAATCTCAGAACAACAAATGAAGCTGGACATTCTAGTTCTAGAATAGACTGGGCTTCTTCTTCTTTAAGTTCCATCTTCTATCGAAGGTTGGAAATCATCATGGCTATGCGGACTTTGTTGACTACCGCTCTAAAAAGTTCTGCACTACTGCATTCAAACCATTCCCTTAAGTTCTTAAGCCAGGATATTCTTCGTCTTCCCACATTTCGCTTTCCTTGGATTTTGCCCTGCATAATAAGTTGTAATAATGCGTATTTTTGCCCTCTCATCACATGTCCCAAGTACTCAAGTTTTCGTCTTTTAATAGTTAATATTATTTCCGCCTCATTTCCTTCTAGTTACTTCCATGTTTGACATTCTTTGAATCCATGATATTCGTAGCAAAATTCATTCGTAGCAAAATAGCATTCGTTCTGTAACAAAATTTCAAAATTCAAAGGCGGCCAACTTATTCAGATGAACTTGTTTTAGTGTCCAAGCTTCCAGACCATAAAGAAGAGTAGAGAACACGTAACATCGAAGCATTCTCAGGCGTAGTTCTAACCTTATATCCCGACAACAAAGAAACTTTTTAAGTTTAATAAATGATGTACGTGCTATTTCAATACGTGTCTTAATTTCTTTGGTTTGGTCTACATCTGATGTTATCCATGTTTCTAAGTATTTATAGTTATTAACACTCTCAATTGCAGTATCTTCAATAGTCAATTGGATATTTGCATGTGCAGATTTAGTCATGATCATGCATTTAGTTTTCTTTAAATTTATCTTCAGTCCATACTCATGATAGCGTTCATTAAGGCGTTGCATTACGTTCTGTCAATCATTGTTGTTATCCGTAATTATTACTGTATCGTCTGCAAAACGTAAGTTATTTAAAAGAATGGGCAAACTACTATAAATAATAATAATTGTACATTTAATATTGTTAACAAATAAATAAAGATTGTTTCTTTGATATGGTGCATTAATTGTCTCGTGAAATAGTTTTGTCAAATATCATTCGAGAGAAAATTATTTACCGGCAAAACTTTCTTGTGGTGTTATTCAAGTTTTTTGTTGCCTTTTGCCAATTTTTGCTTATGTATTTATTTTGGCCTAGAATTTTATCTCCTTTCTTATGCATTATGCATATAGATGTATTTTTCTAACCTTGTGGAAATTTCTTGTTTATTCAAATTCGTTTTATTAGGTTGATTATTTATTTGAGTAGCTGCCCGCCTTACTTGAATATTTCTGCTGCAGTACCATTTTCCCCTGGACTATTGTTATTCTTCAGCTGCTTTGTAATTTCCTCTATCTTCTGACCTGGTGGCTGATGGTTAATTTATCTCAACCTCATTGTTATTTTGCTCCGGTCTGGTGTGTGATTGTGTCATTGGTATTTTCCACTGGGCTTAGCAGTTCCTTAAAGTATTTTGCCCACCTCTTTAGTTTTTTTGGTAGGTCACCTAGTAGCGTGCTTTTTTTTCTGCAGAAACATGTGATTTCGGAATCCTTTATTGATTTTGGTCTTTTGTAGAAATATTCTTAATCTCTTTGTTAATGATATGATATCTCATATGATATGATATGTTACCTCATTTCCCAGTGTTCTCGTTTCTTTTTTCTGCAGCTCAGTTTAGTTTTTTCTTCGATGCTTCATTCGATTGGTATCAAACCAATCTTCACTTTTCACTTTTTTATTTTTATCTACTATCTTTTCTATGGCTTCTCATTATTATCTTCTTTATTTGTGTTTATTTATGATCAGTATATTCATTTGAAATTGTATCTTCTAATTTTTTTGCTATTTCTCGATTTAACTGGTTTTTGACGTTTTCATCCTTTATCTTTACATTATAACACTTTGTGACATTTAATTTCTGCTCAAGTTCCTTTGGAATTTCTTGTTATATGGAATATAAAATGGTCCGTGTCCCCTGGAAACTTCTCAACATTGCTGATGGTACTTTAATAATTATTAATAAATATTTTTACTGATTCCAATCGTCTTTCTGACGTACTTATATTAGGTACAGTAGAAAAGATTGATATACTTCATTTGAAAGGATCTCTGCTGGTGATGTGGCATTAAAAGAACATAATAAAGGGAGAACAAAGACAGGAACAGTGAAGACAAGCTTTAAAGCTGTGTTAGAACTTTTTAATTTCTGTTAGAACTCATACAATATATGATACCAAATGACTTATTTCCATTCCTGTCCATCAGGAGTACACGAAGAATTACTTTAATGATAAAATAGCGAAACCATAGTTCATGCTAAATATTGGTATTTCTCTCTTTATTCTGTGTTTATTGTTCAATTTACGATAATGTGATAATTAGAAAAACCATTTACTGTACTGAAAATTATAATTACAAATTTATTGTAAAAGTCAATATTATTTATTTACATACATAGATCGTTTAAAAATAGAATTAAACGACAAATGGCGTATTTAATGTAAATAATGTAGCAAACTATAATTATCTATACGCAGAACAAAATGTAAATTGGAAAAACATGTATGTAACGATTATTAAATGATGTGGTAAATGTAGACAAACACCAGTTACCATTTGGGTGGGATTTTATTTAAATGGGAAAAAATAAAACTTAACAGTATAGAATAAAATATATAAAGCAGGAAAATGAGACTTAGAATGTATACAAATAAAGCTAAATAAATGGTGACCTCAAAAACGCCTATGGATAACCTACACCTGGCACTGAAAGGTAAATGGCTAGAGATTGTCGACAAGTAAATACCTAGGAACAATCATATTCTTCCAATTGACTCTTTTCAAACCGATGGAAGAAAACCCATGTCATTATGATTCCAAAGCTAGGAAAGGATACTGCGTTCCCGAAAAATTACAAGCTGATTTGCTTACTCTAAGCAATCAGTAAACTAGTGGAAAGAGTCATACCTAGCTGAGACAGATCGGCTAGATAATACTTGAAGCTCAGTTCGGCTTAAGAGCAGACCATTTCAGTGAGCTACAAGTACTCAGACTAACAGAGTACATAACAGCAGGATTTAATGATGGACAATATATGGAAGCTGCCTTCCTGGACGTAAGCAAAGCATTTGACAGAGTCTGGCATAAAGGCTTTACATACAAAATGAGATCATACGGATACAGTGAGGCCATGACGATACTGGTCACTTCGTACTTGGGCAACCAGATCTTCAGAGTTTGAATAGGACAAGTCCTCTCTGAAGACGGAACTCTGGAGGCTGGACTGCAACAGGGAGCGGTTCTATCACCTTATATACACTGCAGATGTTACAAGAACACCAGGAATACTACTCAGCGTTTAGGCTAACCATACAGCTGCGGTTGCGTTAAAACATGAAAAAGCCTGCATAGCAACAAATGATCTACAATCAGCACTAGATGGCATGGAAAAATGGAGTTTTCAATATAAAATTGCCATTAACTTCGACAACACACGAGCAGCCCTCTTCCAAAAATATAAGGGGAGATCCCAGAGGAACAACTCAAGGTGCAAAACAATCCCATCGAATGCACAAAGAGATGCTAAATATTTGGGAGT